GAATTTTAATTGTAAATATGCAGAAGTTTAGCAGAGTTAAATATGAATGGACCTTTGGTGGATCCCTTTTACCATTTAATGTACAGTTACGGAAAATAGCAATGTCCATTTGAATGCTCAATTGTAACTGTAGTTTTATAAAATTTATACATTTATTATATGACAAACTTTTACCTACATAAAAAATGTCCCTAATAAACAAAATTCTGGATAAAATTGTCTGCATCATATAAATAGGAAATATAAAAATGTAATTTTCTATGCGCGGCTAAGACGTCTCTAAAAATGTCATACCATACATATTCGCGAGTCCTCTCTATAGATATTCAAATATCATTGAAATAAGACACTTAAAATTCCATGTGTAGTTTCTGCTCAACATACGAAGGTTCATTCTCAGTGAAGTATGAGTCTGAATTACCAGAATAAAATTGTACAATTGTGTATTTTTCTGTGTGTTTACTTACTACGAAATTGTTTTTAATGTAATATTATTACATATACCAAACAAAATATCATAAACTATTTGTATCCCAGACATTTACCAGCCAATTCTTATGTAAAATTGTCCCATGAATCCGAAAAGACCGTCAAAAACTATAAAATTTAAGCAGTTTTTAAGATATTATATGTAAAATTGATTATATTTTAAAAACTGTTCTACTTTTTGACGACATTTTCGGATTCAGCGAATAATATTTAATAGGAATTTCTTCTAACAGGAATTGACTGCTAAATGTCCTGGATACAAATTGCTGTTGACGAGAAATATTAGTGGCTGCTTTTTCGCTATGACATTTTTGACTAATTAATTCTATTCTATTCTATTCTATTCTATTCTAAATACAGTGCATGATAGAGAACATAAAAAACGAATGGCAACAAAATTAATAAATTCGGAAAATACTTTTAACATACCACCCGAAAAAATATTACATATATATAAATCATCCTGTTCTGGCCTAAACATTATAAATGCTTTACAAACTAGAGATACCACGCTTAATGATATTTGCAACAAACTATTTCAGAAGTCATACCAAGGAATTAGTAGTTACCTCCAGAATCCAGAAAAGGGATGAGGAATCCGAGAAAAAATATATGAATTATATGATATTTACGAAAACGAAAAAAAAATTACCTAAAGCAGCAATTTATCTTTAAAAAATATTTAACAATTTATTTGATGTAAAGTTGGTATGTTTATATAAAAATTGTATGTCCAATAACTATGTGTTTTTTATACATTTTTTATAAAAAAATACAGAAATTCTTGAGTTTAAAAAATGGCGGATGCGCCGGGATTATTATCAAAAGTTACATCGTGTAAAATTTAAGAATAAACAAAAGAAATTTAAAGCGGGTTTTAAATTAGCGTTTGCCAACATTTTGCATATTACAAAGGGTGTATTGTCATTAGGGATTTAAAGGGAGGGAGATAAATGACCCATTACACCGTTAATCTTTGTCATGTTCATCGCTTTTGTTAATTTGATTATGTTATGCTGGAAGAATATTTAGCGTATTTTGTAAAACATTCCTTATTCAAAATTTCAAATTTATTAAGATTTTTTTTTAGATTTATCCTAAATCATTCTGATAAAAAAATAACAAAAACTCCTTTTGTGCTTATATTATGTACTATGCTCCACACCTCAAAGTCCCACCACGTGACCACGTACAAAACGCAGTCTTTTGAAAATTTGGCATTTAAGGCTTTTCAGGTTATGTATCTGTCAAAGTATAGTCAATGAAAGAAATAATATTTATAGTGTTACCGCTTATGTTTAAGCGTTAAAATTAATAAATCTTTATAGTATCACAATAACAATGGTTGGTTTAAGAATTTAGGAATATAAATACTGCATTTAATGAAATTCCAAAGAGTAAGGTGCAATATAAGTGATATTTTTGTGCATTGGGTCTACATTTCTCCATAAAATAGTTTTAACTAAACAGCATTTATTAAAATATAATCTAACTTCTTTATTATGAAATAAGAATATCTTTATCAAAGGTAGGTTAATGTATTAGAACAAAAAATATCACCTAATTTGTATTTTAAGGTTAGAAAAATCTATTTTGACCAAAATAAATAAGTGGATTATTATGGTCATAAATAAATATAGGTATACTAAATAATTGTTGAATATGGTTCAAATTAAATTGAAGCTTTTATACTTCTAATGACAAAACTTGTGCAAACCTTTCGGCATACCTACTTTAAGTTAGATTATAAGAAAACAAACAATTTTTAGAGAAACTTGCAATGTGAAAATATTTAATACTCCCATGACATGTGATTTATTAAAAATTTTAAAGTTATAATGATTTTTCGATGTAGATCAAGTTCAGTCGAAAACTTTATGTAGGTACACTTTAAGCTGGATAAGAAAAACTATCACATTTTTAAATACCATATTATACAGTCTTTTAAATAATCCAAAATACTTATTTATTTTGGTTAAAATAAATTTTTCTAACCTTAAAATTATAAAATTAGATGATATTTTTGTTATAATATACATATTAACCTACCTTTAAAACAGATATTCTTATTCCATAATAGAGAAGCTAGATATTTTTTAATAAATTCTGTTTAGTTTAAATTATTTTATGGAGGAAAACCAGATATTTGGACCAAATGCACAAAAATATTACTTATTTGGCACCATACACTTTAGAATTTCATTAAATGCAGTACTTATATTCTTAAATTCTTTAACTATCCATTGTTATTGCAATGTTATAAGGATTTATACATTTTTAATTAACGCCTAAACATCATATTATTTCTTTCGTTGACTATACTTTGACAGATACATAACCTGAAAAGCCTTAAATGTCAAATTTTCAAAAGACTGCGTTCCGTACGTGGTCACGTGGTGGGACTTTGAGGTGTGGAGCATAGTACATGAGTTATCAAAAATAAGTTTGTGTAAAACGTGAAATCAATCAAAATGCTTACAATGCCGGGTTGGGGAAAATTAGCTTCAAAAAGTGGTTAGACAGTTCGAACAAGTTTCACATGTTTAAAAATCCGGAAAACCAATAAAGCATAGTTTGCATGACTCTTTATCCGTTAAAATCATGTTAGCTGATATATGGGATGAATATCGACATCATACCGATAAATTCGGATTGCATGGTGTATATTCGTAGGGTTTTTGTTTTGCTTTTAATGTCGGCCTGTTTGACATGTGCATTATGTAGGTTGTAAATCAATTACTCTGCTGGTCTGACCCTGTCTGCCATGGCTTGCCTTGGCAAACGGTATACGTCTATCCTCCATTGAAATCGCGTGACTCTTTTCTTAGTCGTCTGCACTGACAGGCAATTCGAGTGGTAATGGATTTTTCTTAGGAGGGGGGGGGGGTGTTAAAATCAAATTAAATTATAAAGAATTTTTGTACAATATAACTATCAGTACTATCACAACACTTACTGATGTATTTCGTAACTTTAACCCACTTCACTGTATTCCCTAATATTAAAAATGATCCTGTTAAAATTTTTTTAATTTTTGCTGCTAATACATTAATTTCATTATTTCCACCTGTGACTGTTGCTCGACGAACTCTTTTTTTCGGTTGAACACTCCCGTTTGTAGTAAACTGCTTGACTGTGCGGTGAAATGAAGTACGCGATCGAATTTTATCCGGAAAACGCTGAGCGTAGACATTAACAGCATCATCAAGATTCCTGCCTGCTTCTCCATAAATCAAAATCATTTCTATTTTTTCTTTCGCTGTTAAAAAATCCATTATGAATAACTGCTTAACGAATGGAGGTATTTTTTTTGCAAATTAATATTCGAACTAAATTGATTAAATAATGCTAAATTTAATTTTTATTTTAAACATTTTTTTGTAAAATGCATATAAGGCTTAGCATTTATTGGTTTTATACAATATTCTATCAGATTAAATGACATTTTTATAAAATTTGTAAGCGTATAGAAAATTAGATTTTTCTCTTTCTTACTTTACGATGTGAAATATTTCAACCAGCATGTAAATTCGTATATAGAACTTTACTGTACATATTAAAGTTTCAAAACACATTTTTCATTTGTATTTTATATACTGTGTAATTATTATTCCCCTCACCACATTATTCACATTTATCTTAAATAACAACCCCAATTTTTCATCGAAAATTGATAGTTAGATTAAAAAACGTTTATCTCCACGCGGTCTATAATTTAAACTTTATTGTTGTCAACATTCGATAAAGAAATACCTTGTTATGGCCTAGGCCGATAAAATTTTTTATGAGGCAAGTAGTTAGTTCGATTTTTTCTCGCTAGGGGTATTATTTTGACAAATTAATCCTTTTCTAAGAAATTAACGTACTAAACTGGTTTAATTTATTTATAATAAGCACTAATTTGTTTGTTTTACTGTTAATGTTTAATATTTTTCATTAAATTATTGTAAAATTAAATATGAATAATAAAACAAAAAGTGAGGTTAGGCAACCAAGAAAACGCACGATTCTTTTTCTACGATTTAAATTATCTTTAAGTTCTAATTTGCTTTAAGTTTTCAGTGAAATTAAATGTTAAACACAGCTTAAACATTCCAAACTACCTATTTTTTAAATAAAAATCCAAACAAATTGAAATTAGATACCTACCTATTTATTAAACAATTAATTGAATTCAATGTAATAGCAAAAATCCATTTCTACTTAAATCATGTTGCTAGGTATTGTCAAACTATTACTGCTTCTAAAAGCAATAATAATTATTGTACATTTATTGTAATCTTTAGCTAATAAATAAATGAGATTCTAAAAAAGTGAGGTTAGGCCGCTTTGATGTTGAATTAAATTGACCTATATAAAGTGCTTTGAAGATAAAATGTTGTATGCCATTCGGCCAAGAAGTGTCTTTTTGTGCTTAGCACAAAAAGCCTTACTTCTTAACCTAATGACATAAATAACTATTTATTTAAAAAAAATTAAAAATCAAAAAATACTTTTTTTTCTTTTTTCAGGGGCAATTTTTGAGCAGGGCACCGACGAAGTCCAAACAGCCTTCAAATTCGCCATGGTCAACCATAATCAAAACGTGACGAGTAGGCGGTTCGAGCTACAAGCCTACGTCGATGTCATCAACACTGCAGATGCGTTCAAGCTGTCTAGACTAAGTGAGTAGTAATTATTACGTATGGAGAGCCGACAAGACATCGAGAGGCCATTAATTGCCACTTTCTTTTGTTCGCTCGAATGGCCATTATATATTGACAGCTTAGGCTCTGATCATGCGATAAAGAAATCGTCAAAGGATATCGCGTGCTCTTGACGTTTCAGCTCTTCTTTGTTTTATCATCAACCACTTCGATTAGCGATCTATTGAGTGCCTCAAGGCACTTGATTCAAAGGAAAAGAAAATAATTGTTTTTAGAGTTTAAGCTGTTTTTTATCTTGGTTAAAAAATATAAAGAGAGTACATCAGTTGATTAAACAATTAAAATAGGGTAAAGTAGACAGTTATCGGGCACATTATAGTTATTGAACAATAATTGATTATATTTCAAAAACTGTTCTACTTTTATAACTATTCGTCTACATTAATGTTGTCGCCTTCAAAATAGTCCCCATTGGATATTATGCACATGTGCCAGCTCTTCTTCCAATACTCGAAACACTTCTAAAACTCGATCTTTGGGATAGCCTTTAGTTCTTTCAGCGATGCGCTTTTAATGTCATCTATGCTTGCAAAACGACGGCCCTTTAAGGTTCTCTTTATTTTTGGGAATAGGAAAAAGTCAGACAGAGGCATGTCTGGCGAATATGGAGGCTGGGGCATCATAACAGTATTGTTTTTGGCCAAAAATTTTGTTCAAAATTTAACAATTTTAGAACAAATTTTTCTGCCACGCGTTTCATACTCAAAACATTCGGAAAAATTTCATGGGATGAAGCAATCTATATGGTTTATAACCATTTCTTCCACTTTTTCCATGTTTTTATCGATTATTAATGTGCTTGTGCGTTCGGGGCGTTCGTCATCTTCAACGTCTTTACAGCCATCTTGGAAACTCTTATACCACTTGTAAACTCTTGTTTTACTTACTATAGGCCTTTGTTAACATTTCACAGAATTTATTTAATTTTTTAAGCAAAATTGGATACAAATTCTTTGATCCATTTCTTTTAACGAACAAAAAATCGCCGAGCTCATAAAACACGTCTAACCTTAGCGGCTGCCACAGACAAAGTAAACAATGAAAACATCTAAAGTTTTTATCATACTTCGGGGGCATGTATACCAACATAATAAAGAAAATTTTATTACAACCGGACCCTCCGAACCCGCGAAATTTAACAATTCCCATTATTTTCTGAACACACCTCGTAAATGTCCAATTACCATACTTTTTTTAATGTTTTTATAAAAATCTTTAAAACAACGGCATATATAAATTTTAAATAAATAATATTCCTTATTTCGATTTTCTCAAGTGTCAAACTAACCTCGAAAAATGAGATTAAAATTTTCAAAATAATTTTTTACAGCTAACAGAAGAAGAGACGTAAAAATTAAGGAGTTAAAGTTATTTTATAAATTTACAATTATATTATTCTATGCTTTTTTTAATCTAATGATACAAATGTTCTTTATTGCAAAAGTCATTATTTTTTAGGCTGAATACAATGAATTTATCGGTTATCTTTTTTGAAAATCTTCTTTAAAGTCAGTTTATTTACAAAAATTGTTTTTCGTCTCCGGAACGAAAACAAATCAATATTTGTAAACGACTGACAGGCCCATTCAAATAAATCTAATGGAGTTGGAATTTGACCCCGTGTACTCATTTGGAGAGAACTCCTTGTGGGTAACCGCTTGAGTGTACCCCCAATCTATCGCTACGACCTTTTCCATGAGTTGTAGCGAAAAATGTCACTCAGCGCCTATACCAAAGTTTCTTTTGTGTTGCCAGAGATTCGCAAACGTCGATTTATTCATGAATTGCTAAGACGCTTCATCTGAAAAGTAAAAAGTTTTATCTACGAGTTAATTTTTTCTAGCTTTTCTTGAAACGTTTAAACTGCATCTGTCCAGCTTGCAATAATATGTAATACTTAATGCTATTTAAACATCTTAGAGTAAATTAACATCCTCCCTTTTTAAATAGTTGAGAATACGAGGTGTGTTCAGAAAATAACGGGAATTGTTAAATTTCGCGAGTTCGGAGGGTCCGGTTGTCATAAAATTTTCTTTATTATGTTGGTATACATGCCCCGACGTGTTTTATGAGCTCGGCGATTTTTCGTTCGTTAAAAAAATGAATCAAAGAATTTGTATCCAATTTTACTAAAAAAATGAAATAAATTCTGTAAAATGTTAACAAAGGCCTATAGCGAGTCTGCTATAAGTAAAACAAGAGTTTACAAGTGGTATAAGAGTTTCCAAGATGGCCGTGAAGACGTTGAAGATGACGAACGCCCCGAACGCACAAGCACATTAACAACCGATAAAAACATGGAAAAAGTGGAAGAAATAGTTATAAACCATCAGAGAAGTCGCTGATGATGTTGGTATATCGATTGGCTCATCCCATGAAATTTTTTCGAATGTTTTGGGTATGAAACGCGTGGCAGCAAAATTTGTTCTAAAATTGTTAAATTTTGAACAACATTTTTGGCCAAAAACAATACTGTAATGATGCCCCAGCCTCCATATTCGCCAGACATGCCTCTGTCTGACTCTTTCCTATTGGAAGAAGAGCTGGCACATGTGCATAATATCCAATGGGGACTATTTTAAAGGCGACAACATTAATGTAGACGAATATATAAATATTTGTATCAAAAACGAAAATTCCCGATATTTTCTGAACACACCTCGTAAGTTAATATGATATTTCACGACAAATACAAGCAATTTGCGGATTTCAAATCGTATTTATTTTTCATTTTAAACTTTCAAAACCCACGTAGATAGAAAATAAAGGCAAAATAAGAAATAAAAGAGAGTACAGATGCGGGAAGGTGGGCAATAATAATAATTGACAGTCGGATCGTCTAAGTAACGTAGCAAATTGAGACAAATGCTGCGACGTCGTATGGAACGTACAGAACACATGTGCGCTTGATAAATTGCAGGATTCTGCAGGAAAACTCGCTCGGCCGACTCAGATCCCGGGTTTTTATTTACACCGACAACATTTTTAACCTCATACGCTGCTTTTGCCACCGCTATGCCAGGATTGAGGTCCGATCCTTTTCCCTAATTACTTGCTGACAACTGTTCGGTCCCAGTTTTTACTGGTCGCTTTTTTAATCAACATTTTGGTTTATGGCAAAAGAGATGTCTGAGTTTTAATTAGCCTAAATGGATGTGTTTTTTATTTTAATTAGGTTTAAGGTATAGTGAGTCCAACCAAGTTTTAAAATGATTATTTTCATCATAATGAAATGAATAAATAAACTGTTTGACAGCAATTAAATTTTAGCAGTCATATTGGTTTTTTGTATGGGGGATTGTATGGTGTTATTTACAAGTTTTTACATACATTTTTAAAAAAACAATTATCTAGTTTAGAAAATATTAATTATTATTTATTACATAGTAAACAACAATTTTTATATAAACATAACAACTTTCCATCAAATAACATAAATTGTTAAATATTTTTTAAAGATAAATTGCAGTTTTAGGTAAATTTTATATTTCGTTTTTGTAAATATCATATAATTCATATATTTCTTTCTCGGATTCCTCATCCCTTTTCTGGATTCTGAAGGTAACTACTAATTCCTTGGTCTGACTTCTGAAATAGTTTGTTGCAAATATCATTAAGTGTGTGAAGCATTTATAATGTTTAGGCCGGAACAGGACGATTTATATATACATATATCGAATATTTTTTCGTGTAGCATGTTAAAAGTATTTTCTGAATTTATTAACTTTGTTGCCATTACTTTTTTATGTTCTATGTATATCATACACTGTATTTAAATCACTGTTATTCTGCAAGATGTCCTGTGACGAAGAAATCACTATATTACTTGCTCTCTAAAAATAAATTAGTCAAAAATGTCATATCAAAAAAGCAGCCACTAATAATTCTCGTCAAAAGCAATTTGTATCCAGGACATTTAGCAGTCAATTCATATGAAATATTATTCGCTGAATCTGAAAATTGTCCAATAACTATAAAGTGTCTACCTTACCCTAAAATCAATTTGTGTCACCCTGTATATATAGAATCTTAATAAATATAAATACTAAATAATTTATGCCTACAGTATTTTATATTCCTTTTAACATATTCTTATAGTTTATTATTTTATCAATCCAAAAAAGACTGTAAAAATATCATAAAACCTAAAATTTGTCTGGACAGTTATGAAAGAAACAGAATGTATGTGCATTAAAAATAGGGATTTAGTTTTTCTGCGAGATTAAAGAAAATTTATGTCCTATTAAATAAATAAAAATGGCTCGAAAATTGTCCCTCCCTTTGCGCAGTGAAGTATTATGATAGAGATGACTGTATACAGCTATAGCTCGACTGTAGAAAAGCCTCTAGGAAACCATTAGCACTTTATATAAAGATCTCTCTTGGAGAAATTCATTTATTTTTGCTTCAATTTATTATTAGTATTATTTCTTTTTAAAGTAGCTGAGAAGGTTATACGAGGTGAATTAACATTGTTTAATAAGCCTCTAAATCCTTAAAATTTTGGATGACAATATTGAAAAAATTAAAAGTAGGATTATTAAAACCAAACTAAGAAAGTCTATACTTAATGCAAACTTTTAAATCGTAAAACATCTTAATAATCATTTTAACCCTATTAAGTGAATTTATCTGGCCGGCAAAAACTTTTTAAACTCAGTATAAATATAAGTTATACCCTTTTTTCAAACTGGGAAAAACGTAAGCTCAAAGTTTTCTCGTTAATTTATTTACTCTTTTTTAGGTGCAAATTCTTTTAGAACTCTTTAAACAGCTTTTCATGTTTTATTAATATTTTGTTTCTGACTTTTATAAATATAACATTAAAATGTCAATGCTTTTTTATAATTTTTTATAGTTTGTAGGTATTGTTTGCAAATTTAATTATGTTTTTAATTAAGATAAAAGGTTTTTGTTTTAAAAAGGATAGCTTGTTTATTTAAATTTTATTTACGTTTACTTAAAAATAAGAATATTTGAATTTTTAATAATGGTTTTATAAAAACATGCAAAAAAGTATAGTAAATGAACATTTTATATAGTAATTGGACACATGGACCATAGTTATTGGACATACAATTTTTATATAAACATAACAACTTTACATTTCGTAATTGTAAATTTCATATAATTCATATATTTCTTTCTCGGATTCCTCATCCCTTTTCTGGATTCTGAAGTAACTACCAATTCCTTGGTCTGACTTTCGAAATAGTTTGTTGCAAATATTATTAAGTGTGGTATCTCTAGTTTGTGAAGCATTTATAATGTTTAGGCCGGAACAGGATGATTTATATTTATCTAATATTTTTTCGGGTGGCATGTTAAAAGTATTTTCCGAATTTATTAATTTTGTTGCCATTAGTTTTTTATGTTCTGTATGCACTGTATTTAAATCACTGTTATTCTGCAAGATGTCCTGTGACGAAGAAATTACTATATTACTCACTGTCTAAAAATGAATTAGTCAAAAATGTCATAGCGAAAAAGCAGCCACTAATTAAAATTTATCTTTAAAAAATATTTTACAATTTATGTTATTTGATGTAAAGTTATTATGTTTATATAAAAATTGTATGTCCAATAACTGGTGGTCCATATGTCCAATAGGGTGATTTATTTCCGCAAAGTTTTTGTTTTTTTTGGTGGTCAAGCAAAATATTAATCTGCATATAGGAAAAAACATTTTCACCAAGTTTGAGCTCTTAATATTAATTTTAAGCACTTACTATTTAAATTTAAAGTTTTACCGTTTAAAATGCATGTAAAAAATATATATATATATTTTTTTCAAATTTCTAATGCTTACCCACCTTTGACAATATTGCAAATCGGTTTAATACACCTTATGGGGAATTTCACGCTCTTTAAAATTGCTTTTGAGTTTTTTTCTAACTCGCATTGGTTCACCAGTAGGAGTCGTCAAAGGACAATTTTTGAAAAAAATCTTTTTTTTTTTATTTTTTCGAGCAAAACGCCAAAAGTAGTGAGAAAAAAGAGCTGATTCATAAAAAAAAAGTTATCGAACCAATATTTAATGAATTTACTGCCATTTTTATAACTGAAAACGTAAGAAATTGATAAATACCAACCCATAATGTTATTTAGATTAATTTTTTCTATTTATTATAGATTATAATATTGGTAGGTATTCATTTATCACAACCCCTAGCAAAAATTATTAATAAAAGCTTTACTGAAGGCTCTTTTCCAGATGTTCTAAAGACCTCAAAAGTTGTACCTATATACAAAAAGAAGGGCGATGCCAATGACCCTGACAACTATAGACCGATTGCCCTGCAGTGCCACTTTTCGAAAATTTTTGAAAGTTGCTATAACTCGAGGCTTTTGGAATATCTGGAGAAGCATTCCCTAATTTTTCCAAATCAAAATGGTTTTAGACCAAAGCGATCTACCTATACTGCTTTAGACCAGGCTCTCGATAGTATTTATAAATCTCTTAATAACAAAACCCGAACACTTGGTATATTTTTTGATATGAGTAAGGCCTTCGACACCGTCGATCACCATTTGCTCATTGAAAAAATGTTTAAAATGGGTGTACGTGGTCCAGCACTAGACTGGATTAAATCATACTTAAGCTGTAGAACCCAGCAAGTGGTGATTGAGGGTTTTCGATCGAAAACCCAAAAAATCACAAGGGGCACACCTCAGGGATCTTGTATATCGCCTACTTTGTTTAACTGCTTTATTAACGATCTTATTCCAAAAATAGACAATAACGCAACTGCCGTCCTATACGCAGACGATACCAATGCAGTGATTTCAGATACAAATATAGGTGATGCTATCTTTAAGGCACAACATGTGATAACAAATATGACACAGTGGTGTCTTGAAAATGGCATCCAACTCAACTCGTCAAAAACAGTTGCCATGCAGTTTTTTACAAAAAATCAAAGTATTGACTACTCACTATTATTACGAGTTAACAACAGCTCGATTAAAAATGTATCCAGCACAAAATTTCTTGGTCTAGAGCTAGACTCTAAACTTACTTGGTCAAAGCATATTGGATCCTTAGTATCTAAACTTAGCAGCCATTGTTACCTGTTATTTAATCTAAAAGGTACAGTGTCACTTGATGTACTAAAACTATTGTATTTTGGTCTTATACAATCAGTTATATCATATGGTTTGCTCTACTGGGGATCATCCAGTGAAATAGACAAAGTTTTTGTCTTACAAAAAAAGGCTATACGGTGCATAGAGGGGGTCTCAAAAAGTACCTCTTGCAAACCTATTTTTAAGAAATTAAAAATTATGACTCTTGCTAGCCTGTACATATACTTACTGGTTGTTTTCATTAAAGAAAATAATATAAACACAAAAAGACACGAATTCCATAACTACGAAACTAGGCAACGCAATAATCTGCAGCAACCATTTGATAGACTTAGCACTTGCCAAAAAAATCCAAGATCTTTAGGTATTAAAGTCACCAATCATCTTTTAAAAAAATACGAATGTCTTCAACAAGCCAACTTAAATAACTTAAAATTTAAACTAAAACAAATTCTTATCGACAAATGCTACTATAGTCTCGAAGATTTTTTCTCCGATAGTTAACATATTAAAAACATTTTTATATTTATGAAATAATTGTTATATTGTTTGTCTTATATATGATTTGTTATTTACTATTTATTTATTTCATGTATGTATATCTTAATGTGACGACCCCTAAAATGTAATAATATGCTGTATTGTTATATTCTGTGGAAATAAAATATTATTATTATTATTATTATTATTATTATATTTCCCTACACTAAGAACTTTTTTAAAATTATTATGATTTCTCACTCATAATGAATATGAAAACAACACATAAATTCATAAAAAAACAACAAAACTTTAATCGGAATATACAGAAGGTTATGTAACATATTTCAAATTTCGCTTCAAAAAATTAAATAATCTTCATTTATATTTTTTTGCTATATGACAGAAATGTTGAAAAATTGCAAAATCGACGTTACAATTTTCTTGTTTTTTTATGAATTTATCTGTTGTTACGTTTTTTTTGATTTGACATTTGTTGTCATTTAAATTCTGTGTTTGTTAAATGATTAAAATAATGAATTATAAACTCTAAAAGATCGATGGGTTGGTGTAAACGATAATAAAATTAAGGTAAGTTTGAATAAATAAGGTTTATTAAGGTCTTTTTATATTTTAAAGCACATTTTAATTTCAAATGTCAAACTAAAAATTCGTTAAATCCTAAAATTCATTATATTTTCTCACTAAATATAACTCGTGGTATGATTAATTATCGATGATATTTACTCATTAAAACCGAAGCACATTTCACTTGTCCTGCGGACTCGTGAAATCTGCAGCTCGGTTTCAATTCGAAAATATCATCGATGATAATCATACCACTAGTTATATTATGGGTGATAATAAATAGAAAAAATCAATCTAAATAACATTATGAGTTGGTAATTATCAATTACTTACGTTTTCAGTTACAAAAATGGCTGTAAATTCATTAAATATTGGTTGGATAACTTTTTTTTTATGCTTCAGCCCTTTTTTCTCCCTACTTTTTGCTTTACAAGACACCCAGAAGAACAGAAATTCAAACATCCCGAAAAGACATTACTAGAAATTTTCAAATCCATTTTAGACTAACTTTTTTTTTTCTTTTTTTTTCATTCTACACTAAAATTAAAAAACACTACCATTGTCATTATTATTATATAATATCAATTTAAAATTAAGCGCATTTGGCTGAAGGACCTCGGTCATTGGCCATTTAATCTTATGTAATCTTATGATGTAACCTTACATAGTATGTATTTACATAATCATTAATAAATACGTTATTTATTTATTTATTTTGCTAACATTTTTACTTTCTTGTTTTCAGTTTGTAATCAATTCTCCCGAGGGGTGTACTCCATGTTGGGGGCAGTCTCCCCTGACTCCTTCGACACTCTCCATTCCTACTCCAACACTTTCCAAATGCCGTTCGTGACTCCCTGGTTTCCGGAAAAGGTCCTGGCACCGTCTTCCGGTTTCATGGACTACGCGGTGTCTATGCGACCGGAATATCACCAGGCGATCATAGATACCGTCAGATACTACGGCTGGACCCGGATAATTTATCTCTACGACTCCAACGATGGTAAGTGCCTAATGTTTTAGAAATTATGTGTGTGGGACTTATCTACAGTGTGTCTACATTTGGGAACGACTTGATTATTGCCGAATGACAAGTTTTCTGGAATAGTACATTCTGTAACAAGTTTGGAATACAGCATATTCCGCTTGAGGAAAAATTTGACACACGGTTTTACGAGAGTGGAATATGCTATTCCAAACGTGTTTCAGACATTATTTTCTCTACGACTACGTAAGAATAGTAACGCTTATATAATTTTAACCACAGAAAAGAAACCAAGCAGTTTTTGACATTTAAGTTTTTTGTATTGTCAAACCATTTTGTGCCGTCACAATTTTATAATGTAAATTATAATAAATTTAAACAAATGGTATGCCTAAATCTTTATTATAATTAAAAATAGTTATTTACACTAACTAATAAAAAATAACATTGTAACAAATACAAAACTAATTTTACAAGTAATCTATGTCAACATCTATTCTTTTTCTACATTTTAAAGGTCTTTTTTTAAACTTTTTGAATCTGTCAAAACTTCAAAGCCGGTATAGTAAGTAACTGGTTTATCATTTTAATATCAAATTTATTATAATTTTGATTTGTATATTTGGAAAACAATAAATATAACTAATTTTTTGTGCCTAAACCTTAATTATACAACTGCTATTATTTTTTAATTAATAAATAATACAGTATTATTTAAATATTTTTAAATTTTTTACGCTTAGTAAACAGCCAGGAGATGTCGTTACTTGTGACCATTCTTAAACAGGAGTGGGAATATTCTCGCACAGTATTGCAGAAAAACATCCTTTCTATGATCAAAAATTACACTAAAATGTTACTATTCTTAAGTAGTCGTAGAGAAAAATATTTTCTAATTTATTAATCTCTCGAGTGGTATACGCTAAAGAAGTATTGCTAGTAGCGCCACCACTCAGCTGTTATTATCGTTACAAAAGTACAACTTTTAATAATCAGCTGTCAAACGCTTATGTCTGTGGGTAAAAGGCATAAGGGGATAAGTCAAAAAAAGCAAATTTTCAATAGAGCCTTTAACGTTTTCGCATTAATTCAGGAAATATATTTATGTTTAGCGGGTATACGCTTTTGTTAGCATATAACATGTGGTAACAAAAGGTTATACCCGCTAACCATAAATATGTTTCCTGAATTAATGCAAATACGTTTAAGGTTCTACTGAAAAATTGCTTTTTTTGACTTATCCCCTTATGCCTTTTTCCCACAGATGTTACAAACGAGTGTTTTTGTGAATAATGCCGGAAAATGTTAAAAAATATCAAAAAAAAAACCCTGGCACGATTTGTTGTGTTGTTGGGTGTATTTCGTAAGGAAATGCTGGGTTGAGTTTTTACCGGTTTTCCAATAAACAGTGTTAATCCGAATGAAGAAATAAATTGCATACAGTCTCTGTAAATATAAATTGTACCTATTAGATTCAATAAATACACATTTTAGTAATGATTAACGTGAAAAGTGTAAACATTTCAATTCAGTAAAAATCGTCAAACAAATAAGTCGTCCAAATTAAAACAGCATTTAGCATTATTAAAAGCGTTGATTAAGAAAATCTCCTGTCAACGGTAAAATACCATTATTTTATTTATTATATATAATATTATGTTGTCATGAATTCGTAGCTATATTTTGTTGTTTAAAATGCAGTTGTCAGCGTTTTTTAGAGAACTCAAATATAAAAATGGTTGATTTTAAGGTTATGTTTGTGCAAAAATTAATTTCTACTAATTTCTTAAAAATGTCCAAACTTAAATATAAATTATATTAGGTAAAGTTATCATTAGTTAATTCTGCACCAACAAATGTACTAACCGAATTGGATCCTTTGGCAAAACATGAAAGCAACGATTTAGTTCTTGAATTTTATTTACACAATAATTCACCATGATCCCTTAGATAAGATGGATAGCGCTTATCTAAAAGGAACCAACCGCCAAATCACAATTTTCGAGTTACAGGCACCAAACGCCTTTAAATACTTTATATTAGATTGTTCAAAAATATTTAAACGCCAAAGCTAATTGTAACAACATTTTTTCCTGAGGTTACCAAGTTGCTGGTTTAAAACTGCTGTTTTTATATTTCTCTGAACGGATCCAAGGCGCACAAGGCTATTTTGACAAATATCGTGACGCTTGGTTCCCTTTTGACATTAAAATATTTGTGTTATTATTTTTTGTTTATGGCTTGTTTCGAAACGAATTTTTGATAGAAATATGAGTAAAAGAAGTGCTACGAGTCCAGATGCTTGTTGCAGTGCCATAAATAGGGCTAAAGATGCAGATAAAGAGCTAAACAAAATAAATATAGCAATAAATGATAATGGCAACTTTGAAACCAATTTAATGGAAATTGGCCCAATTGACACTTTGCCTAAAAAAATGTGAGTTATTTATTAAAATGTTTATTGGACCTGCCTACATATTTATTTTCAGATAAATAAACAAGACTTTGCACATTTTTTCGACTTCGAGGACTCTGGAAGTGAATACGACCCTGGTACTAAGATTTCTAAAAGCTCAGGTAGTTCTGGTGTAGATTCCACTCTGTAAATGTAACGAGAAGGTAACACAAGAAGTCAGAAAAAATGTGTTTGAACAGTTTTGGGGTTTAGGGAACTACAATGCCCAAACTGCTTATATAGCGGCCACAGTTAAACAGCATGGCATAAAAAGAAAACGAAACAAAGAGAGCAATAGAAGACAAAATTCTAGAGTTTATGAAATAACTAATATTAGAGTATGTAGAGATATGTACATAAAAACTCTACAGATTTCACCAAAAAGAGTAAATACAGCCTTAAATAAAATAAAAACAGGATCACTTAAAGATGAACGAGGTTTCATGCAAGGGGGACATAATAAATTAAACGAAGAAACTAAAAATAAAGTAATAAATCAAATATCGAGATTTCCTACATATATTTCACATTACACAAGAATTGTGAGTGAAGCAAAGTTTTTGCAAACTGATCTTACACTTAGAAAAATGTTTAGTTTATACACGGAAGATGAACCAAACCATAAAATAGGATTCTCCTCATACAAAACTATATTTTATAAAAACTTTAATTTAAGGCGCAAAGTTCCAGTTAAAGATACTTGCAATTTATGTGATAGTTTTAATGCTAAAATAAAAAATTTGTACTTAGAGAGGAACAGGAGTTGCAACACGAACAGCACTTACTAAAGGCACAGGAAGCAAGAGAATCAATGAAGCATGACATGGAGGAGGCAAAAACAAACAATAAATTGGAGACCGCAACGTATGACATGGAAAAAGTTTTAGGTTTGCCAAAACTCCCCACTAACATCGTATATTACAAACGACAACTGTCAATTTATAACGAAGGAGTACATACAAGCTCGAACGATACACCATATTGTTTTGTGTGGAAGGAGGGAACTGCGGGTCGGGGAGCTCAAGAGGTAGGATCTTGTCTTAAAAAGTTTGTAGACATGTATTTAACTCCAGAAACAGAAGAATTCATATTATGGTCTGACTCATGTGGGGGGCAAAACAGAAATATTAAAATTGTATTGCTACTAAAAGCCATTTTAGAAGCACATCCTTTACTTAAAACAATCTACCTCAAGTACTTGATACCCGGCCACAGTTTCCTACCCAATGACACCGATTTTGGAGAAATTGAGAGATCTATTAAATACCAAATACGTTTGTACACTTTAGAAGAATTTAAAACAGTTATACAACGGTGCTCACATAAGAAAAAATTTGTTGTTGTAGAAATGGGAAAGGAAGATTTTTTCGGGACTTCAAAACTGGAACAATTAATTATAAACCGAAAAGTTGATATAAACGGACATAAAATAAGTTGGCTCCAAACTCGCGTTATAAAACTGGCCAAAGAATATCCTTTTTCAATATTTGTAAAATACACACACGATTTTCAATTTAGAGAAATAAATATAAAGAAAATAACGAAAGGTCGTCCTAATACTAAAAGCGATTTTTCCTCAAATTTGTTTATGCTATACCCAAATGGAAAAGAAATTTCTACAAAAAAATTGGCAGATATTAAAAGTTTGATGGCACCAGTTCCTAACGATGTAAAAGACTTTTATAGAAACTTAAATGCAGCTGATTTTGAGGACGATGTAGATGGTTTTGGTGAAAATATTGATTTTTTGCCAGAAACAGAATCTGATGTATAATTTTTTGTTGTCATTAATTTAGGAATTACCTATTAAAAAGTTTTACTTTTATTTTCTAATAATTAGTCGAACAATGTTTGTTTATTTTTAGTTGAAAACAATGGCTTGTATTTTTTGTTTATCACGAAACTTTCTAAAGTTATTATAAAAATATTACAGCTTTTGTCTTATTTTTATTTTATGCCCAAGTCTAACATAAATCAAACGTTTATGTACAAAATAAGTCAAACGATCCATGTGTTATTTTATTATTTTGTCTAAAAAGTGTTTAAAGAGATCCATGTCTAAAATTTCCTTTTTATCAAAAAGGAACTAAGCGCCATTTTTACCTGTATTACCAAATAGCAACACTAAATTTGGAAAAATTCATTAGGTTTATTAAAGTTAATCATTTTACCGTAATAAAACGCCAAAACTGGACTAATGCAATTACAAATGAATTTTATATACTTTAAAAACTTTAAACCCAGTTTACTCAATTTTAAAAGTTGGCGGTTGATTCCTTTTAGATAAGCGCTATCCAGATACACACACTAACGTAACTATTGTAGCGAGTACCGCTCTGGATATCGGAGTGATGACTCATCGCCGGTTAGTCATCGCCGGTGAGTCATCGCCGGTGACTCAGCGCTCGAATAATCGAGAGTGTGGAGCTCGCTGGAATGTTCCAGAAGACCTTGGCGCTGAATATATAAGAAACGGAGCAGCACACGGCAGTTAGTTGAGCTTTGGTACGCGCGAAGAAATAAATAAATATAAGTGCAAATAAATAAACTAGTAGTGATATAAATAATTAGTAGTTAAGTGTTTAGTTAGTTTTATAGTGTTTTAAGTGTAGTTAAGTTATTAAATAAATAGCTTAGTTCGTTAATTAACCAGTGCGTGTTTTAATTCACACTACGAACAGTTAAAAACGTTACAATTGGTGTCAGAAGTGGGATGATATTGCTGGAGAAGATTACGTCAACAATTTACGTAGGAAAATGAGCGACATTCACAGCCGAGTTCGTTTAAACATCCAGAGTGCCAGTGATAGAATGAAAGAGGCATATGACATCAAGGCGGAAAATGGAGGATTTCAACCTGGAGACCTAGTTTGGTTATACAACCCTCAGCGCCGTCGTGGTTATTCACCGAAGCTGCAGACTTCTTGGGAGGGACCTTACGAAGTCATGGATCGAATAAATGACATCATCTACAGGATCAGGAAACAGCCAAGAGGAAAGCCGAAAGTGATCCATTTCAACCGATTGGCCCCTTACGCTGGAAACAATGACGATGCTAGAGTAAGGAGAGTTAATCCGCCGGAAGACGACTTGCCTTTTGAAGACTTCATGTATTTATATTCGAGCGGTAAAAAAGCTCGGTATGGTGTCACTCGAGAAGAGCAAAAAGATCTGTTCACGGTTTCGGCCGATTACTCCCTGGCTCACTGTGTTGCGGAAGACCTTAGGATGTCCAGGGGAATAGCGGTTGTCTTTAAAAACAAGTTTGGACGGGTCGACGAGCTACGAAGGCAGAGTCCCAAAGTTGGAGAGGTGCTTGAAATGGTGGATAATGAGCAGATAGGTAACCGAAGTATCTTCTATCTGGTAACGAAGCAACTCTCCAATCAGAAGCCAAATTACCGTGACGTATGGAATGCTTTAAATAAATTGAGGGATATCCTTTTGTCCAAGGACATCATGAACCTGGCGATACCGAAGATTGCTTGTGGACTTGACGGCTTAGACTGGAGAATAATTAGAATTATGGTGGAAGTTATCTTCAGATTTAGTGGCATACACATTCTTGTCTGTTGCCACAACCCTAAAAGAACATCCGGAAGGAAGACCGTAGACTGCTACTTCTATAGGACGTCACAATGCAAGTTTGGATCTCTATGCAAATATCGCCATGGAACTGAGGACCATTTTCGGGACGAAAATGTTTTAAGACGGGGGCAATGTAGCGAGTACCGCTCTGGATATCGGAGTGATGACTCATCGCCGGTTAGTCATCGCCGGTGAGTCATCGCCGGTGACTCAGCGCTCGAATAATCGAGAGTGTGGAGCTCGCTGGAATGTTCCAGAAGACCTTGGCGCTGAATATATAAGAAACGGAGCAGCACACGGCAGTTAGTTGAGCTTTGGTACGCGCGAAGAAATAAATAAATATAAGTGCAAATAAATAAACTAGTAGTGATATAAATAATTAGTAGTTAAGTGTTTAGTTAGTTTTATAGTGTTTTAAGTGTAGTTAAGTTATTAAATAAATAGCTTAGTTCGTTAATTAACCAGTGCGTGTTTTAATTCACACTACGAACAGTTAAAAACGTTACACTATATAAGCATTTATGCGTTGAGTTTCTTAATCAATGATATAAAGAATAATCAATCGAAATCGAGTACTAAAAAGTTTTTTAACTTTTTCCTTGCAACGTATAACACAAATAACGTGCGCGATTTAGCTGGGCAATTGAACAAAATTTGTCGAGTAAGACTTCTGCCTTCCTCTCGTTTGTGAAAAAACTACCTATTTATTTAAAAATGATGTACAGTTCGTATGCTTTAAATGTATTATTGACATTGATATTAGTTCTAATTTTTTTATAGCAAAAGTTATCATTTTTCTCTACAAAACGTTTGAAATTGTTTCCAAATTACAATAAAACATCGTTTTCCATAAAAAGTGCGATTCAGCATATTTTTCTTCCATTAGGCTTCCAGACTAGCTTTATGGACTTTTTTATTCAATAAATCACAGCTCTACACATACATCGAATAATCGCACGGCAAATATACCTACAAATGGCCCGACTGAAAATCAAACATCACAAAACGTTATTTTATTTTAAACTGACAGGTCTGTTTAATTAAGTAGCGATTCTGCAATAAAAGTGAAGCGTAAAATCAATTACAAATGCCGAGTTTTTTAATTAATGGAAAGGTTTTACTCGATGTTTTTAGCCCGAATCACATATTTTTTTCATCGAAAACCGTTAGTCTTACGAAAAATGGTCATGAAATCAAATTTGCCCTAAAATGAATGGGGATTTAAAAAATTATTTTTATTTTGAAAAATAGCAGTGGCGTGCATAATATTTTTCCAAAAATATCTAGACCACATCCTGTACGGACGCCACTGGTAAAAAAAATAAAAAATCTTCTACATCAAAAACTTACTGTTAATGCTTAGAAGGCGTGTGCCAAATTTTTTAAAAATATCTAGGAAGTTATTAAAGTTATGATAAAAAACGATATTTTTCTTTAAACTTTAACACCCTGTAACTCAACAATTAAGAGGTTTAAACTTTTGAATTATAAAACAGCAACATTCTAACTGACCTTCGAGAATCACGCATCTACGAGCCCTGTCTCAGTGAAGTTGGCCCAACTAACAAAAATAGTTTTTTGAAGATATTTAGAATATTATACGGTAATTAATTAAAATTAACACATTGTTTAAATTAAATAAATAACGTTTATTAAATTTTCTACCGTAAAATATTTAAAATTCTCCTATATTGTCCGTAAACCAAAAATTAAGAAAAAAAAATATTTTAAATAAATACATTTTAATTGGAAACTACCACTGCGTTACATCTCCTTTATGGCTTATTACTGCCTGTATACGTCTCTGCATGGTGTCAACCAATTTTTGACAATCATCCGGCGTAAAATTATTCCAAATTTCTTGCAGGCGAGCACGCAACTCTAAGATGGTTCTTGCGGACTGTTCTCTGAGCTTCTTTTTCATAATATGCCACAAAGTTTCTATAGGCGAAAGATCTGGACTACTAGATGTCCATTTTAAAAGTAAAATATTATTTTCTATCATCCAAGCTTTCACTTTTTTAGCCGTATGACACGTTGCACCATCTTGTTGGAAGATGCATTCAATATCATTTAAACGCATTTCTTCAATTTGAGGTTTTAAGTTATTTTTAGGGCGTAAATATATTTATCAGCATTCATAATGCCCTCTACAAAGTGTAATTTACCGATCCCTTTAGCTGACATAGATCCCCAAATCATCACAGAGGCCGGAAAATTTACTTTTTTCTTAAGACAGTCATTGTGAAAGACTTCTGCTTTAGTTCTAATGACTCGGCTTCGATTATCACCAACGCAAACTTCAAATCTAGCTTCGTCACTCCATATAATTGAATCCCATTGATTTTGACACCAAGTGCTCTTTTGCCCAGAGAAGTCTATTTTTCTTCTGTTTTTTTGTCAATAAAGGTTTTTCCTTTGCCTACAGATAGTAAAATTAAAAATAAATAAAATTCGTATACATTATAAGCAAACCTTGTAAGTTTTTGAGCAGCTCTATGACAGGTTGCTCTTGAAAAACATTTACTCGTTGCCTGATTCCACAAAACTTTTAATTCACCGTAATTAGCCCTACGATTTTGAACGATAATTCTTCTTAAAGTCCTTAAATTTTTATCAGAATAGTGAGGACGACTTCCATTTTTTGGTTTCTGCGCCACAGATCCTGCAGTTTTGTGCAGTTTAATAATATTTCGCACTGTATATCGTGACAAATTATCAGTTTCAGCGATTTTGAGGTTTTTGCTCATTTAAAATGATTAAAGCGCCATCCGTTGCATAAAATTTAAAGCAAAAACAGATTCATAAATGGTTATATAAAATCATATATTTGTGACTAAGGCACTTCTTTACCCAACCCCTTTATCTATTGAATCTTAATATCTAAGAAAAGCCGTAGACAATCACAAAAAAGGAAACGACTCCAACAAACCCATAAATTCCTGAAAAATCCTGCAGGGACTGTTAAAAGTGTAAATGTCGGGCTCTCTTATTTCTCTTATTTCTCTTATTTCAGGTTTATTGCGCCTGCAGCAGATCTACCAAGGCCTGATACCGGGCAATGAGAGCTTCCAGGTGTCGACTGTTCGCCGTATAGGCAACGTCACGGAGGCTATGCAATTCCTTAGGGGATTGGAGGAACAGTCTCGCTGGGAGCACAAATACGTGGTGTTGGATTGCTCCGCAGATATGGCCAAGGAGATCGTGGTTAGCCACGTGAGGGACATAGCGCTGGGCCGCCGCACCTATCACTACCTGCTTTCCGGTTTGGTAAGTCGAACTTGCTTTTTTTTCATTGGGTAACTTCAAGTCTTCTGAGGGGTGTTGTCAAAATAACCTTTGTGAAAGTTAAAAGACTAAACTATTTTAAAGACATTATCAAAACATTCCTTGGTCTGACTTCTGAAATAGTTTGTTGCAAATATCATTAAGTGTCGTCAAAATATGGAATTAACTATATCTCAAAAACTATATATTGCGTGGAATTTTCCCTTGGATGTATTCTATATCATGAGTTTAATCACAAATAATTTTAAATTGGTTTATCATAAACTAATTTTAATAAAAGCGACGGTAAATATCCACTTTGTTGTCGAAAAATTCTATTGCGTTACCCTAAATTCCATTGCGTTACCATAAGGTAACATAATGGACTGGGTAACGCAGTGGACAAAGTTTTGTGAAACCATATTTAAAAAATAATAATAAAACATTACAGTCATTAATTACTCTCAATGAGCTTTAGTGCCCTAAAATAAACATAAACATGAAAAATAGTATTTTTTCTTACGTTATTTTTTTTTTGAGTAACTTAGCGGACAAACAATTATTACATTCGCGTTACCCGCACCTGTTTGAACCGATATCTTCTTCATGATTGAATAAATAAATTCAGCTGGGTAATGTGTACGTCCGAACATCATTTGTTGATCACGTGAGTGCCAAAAAAGTTGCCATATATGTTTTTTTTAATATTCTATCGGTAACGCGACGGACGTAACGCAACGGAAAAAATTTCTGGGACATGAGTCAAATTAAAAAAAAGTAGATTAAAATTAATTATTTTATATATAAATTGTTTACTGTATTAACTAAGGATTTTATGGATTGCTATAAAGCAACACAAAGTTCTGGTTATTTAATATTAAAAAAAAAACATGTATGTAAGTTTTATAAAACGCTAATGAGACATGCGAAAATGTGTGTTTCACAAGTTTCAAAATTAAAAAAAAAATTATAACTAAACAAACATTTTGAAAGAGTTTACTAAGGGCTTGTTAGGCTTTCACTTGGTTGTTAAATCAATAAGATCCGATAATTTTTAACAAAGTTATTGGAATTCAAACTTACGGACAGCGGAAGGCGGGTGTTTTTTGAAAACAACCCATAAACTCAATGCTCATTATTTATTTTGCGGAAATGTATACCTACCTATTTGATATGCATTGAAATTAAGCTTTATGCATTGAAGAACTTTTTTTGGACTTTTTGATTCATGAATTTTATAAGAGACTTCTTAAAAGGGTATGCGTAATAAAAATCCCATATCCCTGGCCTTTTATGTTATTTAACTTGACAGGTCTGCGGAAATGGTATATTGACTTTTTCACACAGTCATTCCCTGCGGGTATTGAACTTATTAAGGCACTACGGCTCTCGCTGTATATCCCGCAGCTGCGAAGTTGAAGCTGAGGCGAACGGTTGCAGTAGGGATAATAAAATAAAAAAGCAACCATCAACAATTTCATTACATGGCTGTTCTGTGATTAAACGAAAAGTGGTATTAGTCACAAACTATCTAAGATACACAGATTATTTGTTGGCTTGACGGTTTAAGGTTAGCTATTTTAATTTAGCCAGAAAATTTTTCAATCAAATTTTAATAATAAAAAATCAGGAAAGATTAATATTTACGTAATTAAATTTCGATTTTACCTTATGTTTATTTGCTCTCAGTCTCTTCTAAGGAAAATGTATGGCCCCATTAAAATACCTCAGGGTATTTACCGACCACCGACAAATTTAAGGTGAATTTCATTATGTAGGAATAAAAAAGAGAATGTGCAAGAATTTTAAACGAAACACATTGAAAAGACTCGATTTTTAATAGAAATACACTCACATGCAAAATAATCGATCCACACAAATTTTCGATGAATTTCAATCGCAAATTACTTTTTTATTTGATTTCTGATTAAAACAAATATTAAAGAATATTGTAGATACATTAATGGAGAATCGCTCACATTTTAAAAATTACTAAAAAATACACGTACATTTGTAATATACAGGTTTAAACAAAAAGATGTTTTTTACCATAAGTTGAAGACACTGTAGAGTGGCAAAACCGTATATTGTTCTAAATTAAGTTTTAATTATCAAGTCACATCTATTTTTAACAGTTTTGTTTTTGGTTCACCTTGATATATTTATTTTTGTGGAAAATATGGATTTTTTTAAAAAAACATTGCAATTCCCAATATTTTTCCTGTATGAAGAACTGAGGTTGCTATGGTCCATCCATAGCCTATGGAGGATAACAGTGACAGTTTTGTTGAATCATCCCATACTTGGACATGTCATTTACATCTTTCAAAAGCTATCAAATTGTTTTTTTTAAATTAATGTGTTAATTTTGAGGTGTCTTCTTACTTTTAAAAATGTCTCCGACTGATGTTGCCCTTTGTATTTTAATTCTTGTGACGTTTAAAACACTTGCCACGTAATACTGTGACCGTCCATCCTGGATTAAATTAATGGCTCTGGCAACATCAGTCGGAGACATATCCATTTTTTAAAGTAAGAAGACACCTCAAAATTTAAACATTAATTTGCAAAAAACAATTTGATAGCTTTTGAAAGCCGTGTATGACATGTCCAAGTATGGGATGATTCAACAAAACTGTCACTATCATTCTCCATAGCCTATGGATGGACCATAGCAACCTTAGTTCTTCAACAGAAAAATATTGGAAATTGCAATGTTTTTTAAAAAATCCATATTTTCCACAAAAATAAATATATCTAGGTGAACCAAAAACAAAACTGTTAAGAATAGATGACTTGAAAAATAAAACTTAATTTAGAACAATATACGGTTTTGCCACTCTACAGAGTGTCTTAAACTTATAGTAAAAAACATCTTTTTGTTTAAACCTGTATATTATAAACGTACGTCTATTTTTTAGTAATTTTTTAAAATGTGAGCGATTGTCCATTAATTTATCTACAATATTCTTTAATATTCGTTTAAATCCGACATCAAATAAACAAGTTATTTGCGATTGAAATTCATCGAAAATTTGTGTGGATCGATTATTTTGCCTCTGAGTGTACACTGTACTATAATGGGTATACCATATATTTAGATACAAAGGATTGGTTAAAATGTCAATTATTTATTAATTTTTACCTGTGACAAACAGGCACCACGTCTAATTACAGGATTACACGTTGAGGGATTCGAACCCACGACCTCTCAGCTTATACTGCACTATATTAGCGGTTACAACTTTTAAAATCTTATTTAAACTTTCTTAAATATTTCTAAAATATCTGAAAAAAGGTTCTAAGACTATCTGTCTTAAAACTATCTGTCAACAGTTGTATTTTCTTTATTTGAACAGTTACTGTTCAAATAAAGAAAATACAACCTCTCTGTACTATAAAATTTAGTACTGGGAAACATTTTTTTAGAGAGGGTAGAAAACACCCTGTGTTTATAAAAGTATAAATATATGGATCAATGCAGCTAAATTTTAAGACAAAATTTAAATTTGCCTGAAAGAAGTTTTTGTTTAAGACAAAATTATATTGATTCACGCTTGTATAATGTAAAAAAAATCGTGTTAATAAGTAGAAATTCTAAAAATTACAGTAAAAATACCACGTTGCTTTGACAACGGATTCTTTATATCGGAAACCAAAAAGGTCAAACCTAGTTTCTTCGCTCTCCTTGTGTAGGCTTCATGATTTTAATATTTAAATAAAAGATTCGTTTAACAACAGTGGTTACTAATAATTATAATTTTCTAAAAAAACTGTTAATTTATATTTGCATATAATAGTATATTATGAGAGTATAATGAGTGTATAGAAAAGTTTATAAACCAGGTGCATACTATACTTTTTCTACGCCAAATACTTATTATTATCTTGAAATGATTTAAATCAAAAATTTGTATAGACTGCCATCTATGAAACAACATGGAAAACTGTCAAATGTCACATTTTTACATTTTATAAACACAATTATAAAGGTTATAAATCGAAATGTATTTCTTAAAAATTGACAGTTTTTTACAGTGAAAGTAAAGAAAATGTTTTATGAGGACTTTACAGTAGAGTCCGTGCCCGAATTTAAGTTATAGTTTACTGCCGGCGAAATTAAAAGGTCAGTACAATGTTCAAATAAACTCTTCAAATATTGGCGTTGAGAAACTATTTAATACTTTTGTATTTTTGTATTGAGATAATAAAATCTTCTTCACATTTAGTATTATTTTACAAGAAAGGCACTTTATTTTAACGATTGTATGACATTTGACAACTGTCAACTAACTTAAAACTAACTTCAGTCCGTGACTAAAAACCTGTTTTTTTTTATCTCAATTAGGATTTAATTAATTAATTAACAAAATAATGTTTTTTTTTACCTTAAATAAAAATAGTAAAATCTGATAAATATCATATAATTGATTAAAAAAGACAATGGCATCATTTATGTTTATAAAAATATTACGCAAATTAAAAAATATATTTATTCTTTTAACATCATAATCAATAAATAAAAAACTTTTATCGCCATAAAAGGTCATTCAAATAGTTTTCTAAAGAATTAATTATTCGCTCATAAAAGTTCATAAAGAACTTTTACAGTTTTTATATAAACTGTTTGTTTGTGCTTGGGACAAATTTCCCGTTTTGCTTCAACATAAAGAATGAAAAATCACAACTTTTCCACGGTAGATGCAGCAAAAAACCATTAAAACTTTACGCTGCCTTTGTCGGTAAAAATATTCGTCAATTAGGCACTATACCATTTAATAATTTAATTTTGTTAAGTTAATAGTCGAACTTTTGAGCTAAAAGTCTCTCGACGTAAATTTAATTTAAACAATTTCACCGCTTGTTGTAACAAGGTACAAAATATAGGTCAGCCCAGATCGAACAAACTTGAACTTGCACAACATGAGCAACCTCGTACACTACAACATAAGGCACCTTGATTTTCATATTGATTTTAATGGAATTACTTTATGAACTTTCTTTAGTATTTACTTTTAAGAGGTCTATAATTTAAACCTATAATATTATCAACACTTAGTAGTAAAGTGTGATTGATTATCGTCTAAGCTGTAAAAATGTTGACCAATCGTTCTTTACAAAAATTAAGCCTTGAAGATTTTGTATACTTTATAGTATATTATGTATCAAGTTTGATAAACGCCATTTTATACACGAATTGATTTAAATCAAAAATTTGTATAGAGCGCCATCTATGAAACAATATGTGTCACCGTCATATGTCAATTTTTTTTATTTTATAAACACAATTATAAAGGTTATAAATCGAAATGTATTTCTTGAAAATTGAGTTTTTCACAGTGAAAGTAAAGAAAATGTTTTATGAGCACTTTACAGTTGAGTCCGTGTCCGAATTTAAGTTATAGTTTACTGCCGGCGAAATTAAAAGGTCAGTAAAATGTTCATATAAACTTTTCAAATATTGGCGTTGAGAAACTATTTAATACTTTTGTATTTTTGTATTGAGATAATAAAATAATTTTTACATTTAGTATTATTTTACAAGGCACTTTATTTTAAAGATTGTTTGACATTTGACAACCGTCAACTAACTTAAAACTAACTTCAGCCCGTGACTAAAATCCTGTTGCTAACTTCAGCCCGTGACTTAAGCGCCATAAGGCCACAACTTGTCAATGTATATTTAAAAGGTCACTTAGTGTCATGGAAACATGTATGTGTTTTAAAGGTGGGAGTAGAAAAAAGATTTTATTTTGGGACGTAAGAAATAAAAAACCTTGTAAAATAAAGAAAATAATAAATTTTTCATCAAATTTGCTACATACAATAAATTTAACGATTGTTTAGCATTTAATACCATCCATTGTAACAGCAATAATATCCGCATTTAAAATATAAATACAATTATATTTGCGTATTAAAATCCCTGTAATTTTAATGCCATTCTAATTTATTCACGACCACTTTAGGAATTGTAATTTAGTTTAATATTGTAATGCGCTTTAATAAATGAAACAATTTTAACATTAATTTCCTGAAATTCAAAAGCTTCAAGATAAATAATCGTGCTTTAATAATTATTATGCTTTATAAATAAGTTAAGTACATAATTACTTTTAAAGTATTATCTGCATTAACTTTGTATTTCATGGTCATTTCAAAATATATAAAATTATAATTTTGTTCTATTATTTTTAATTACAACTTTTTAAAAAACTTTTGTTTATTTAAAAGGTCACTTAGTGTCATGGAAACATGTACGATAATGGGCTTTTAAAGGAGGGAGTAAAAAAACTAAATTAAAATCATTAAAATTTAAAATTTTAGCTAAATTGCAAGATTAATGGTTTTGTAATTAAATGATATTTATATATATATATTGATAATGTTTTTTCACTCTTTTAATAACTAGAAAGTATGTCAAAATTTTGCAAAAAAATCTATTAAATCAATTTTGTTCGATTTTTCTTCCGTATACGATTCTCCAATAATTTTTGAATAAAATACTTGGTTTTAATTTTTAAATTTATTTATTTATTTCGTTTTAATATTCTGCTAACACTGCTCTGGGATATTCCCAAATCTCTGGATAATTCTCTTGTGCTTGCATGAGGATTAGCGGCCGTTGCTGCTAATACATTAATTTTATTATTTCTACCTGTGACTGTTGCTCGACGATCTCTTTTTTTCGGTTGAACACTCCCGTTTGTAGTAAACTGCTTGACTGTACGGTGAAATGAAGTACGTGATCGAATTTTATCCGGAAAACGCTGAGCGTAGATATTAACAGCATCATCAAGATTCCTGCCTGCTTCTCTATAAATCAAAATCATTTCTATTTTTTCTTCCACTGTTAAAAATTCCATTTTGAATAACTGCTTAAATAATGCTAAACTATAAATAGTTTCTTTATACCTCAATAATAATTATTATTTATAACTAAATACTATGTTTTATACCTCAAATAGGATTAAATTAATTAATTGACAAATGTTTTTTTATCCTTAAATGGGGTACTTTTATTAAAAATAGTACAATATTCCTTTAAATTAAAGGATTTAATGCTGGCAGGTAAAAAGTGACCATGGTGCGCAATTGATCATTATCACCGAATGAAATAATGTATAAAAAGTTTTTAACATTAAACTTGATCCTGAAAAAAACAAATTTTTGTATTCTGTAGTCTGTATTTCTTATAAAAATTTTCAAATTCATGATTTTTTTTAAATTTTTGAATGATATTTTTTTGATAATCAATTTTTTTTTAACAAAAATGACTTTTCTTTGAAAAACCAAAAATATTTTTTTCTCTGGAAAACTACAGGTATTAAAATAAAATAAAATAAATGTCTGGATGTCCTCTAAAATTATTTATTAAATAAAGTGTTTAATGCCGTATAATGACTTTTTTACTACTTGATGACTTGTTCGGGCCTTTGTGCAAAAATTCCAGAAATGTTTCTTATTATTGCCGTAATTCCTTGCTCATTAAAATACTTGGCGAGTTTCTTTATTCGTTTCAAGCACGCAAAACTCAAATATAATCAAAAGGCATTATCATCAGGGAAATATTATGCAGATTAACTGCTATCAGTTGTGTAGTAAACATTGACCACCTCCGCCCGCTACAATGCGAATTTTACTATGATGCTATGCTGCTCCGAAACGATCGATACAACGACATTTTTAGCTGCTTAACTTATTTTGTTTAGTTGAATTGGTTTAAGAAATTTTGTTGACTCAAAAAAAAATTATTTTTATATATTTTTTCTGTGGCAGTATTAATAATATACACAGGGTGTCCGAAAAATGTCGAACCATGTTGTATAATTTATTTAAAAAATGAAGATTTCTATTATTGGACATATGTCCAATATCATACTCTATTGGTATCCTGGACATTTATCAGCCAATTCTTATGTAAAATTGTCCCCTGAATCCGAAAAGACCGTCAAAAACTATAAAAGTTAAGCAGTTTTTGAGATATAGTCAATTCCATATTAAATGTAAAATTGATTATATTTCAAAAACTGTTCTAATTTTATTACTTTTGACGACATTTTCGGAGAATTATTAGTGGCTGCTTTTTCGCTATGACATTTTTGACTAATTTATTTTTGGAGAGTAAGTAATATAGTGATATAGAATAATAAATTCGGAAAATACTTTTAACATACCACCCGAAAAAATATTAGATATATAAATCATCCTGTTCCGGCCCAAACATTATAAATGCTTCACAAGCTAGAGATACAACACTTAATGGTATTTGCAACAAACTATTTCAGAAGTCAGACCAAGGAATTAGTAAATACCTTCAGAATCTAGAAAAGGGATGAGGAATCCGATAAAGAAATATATGAATTACCTATATGATATTTACAAAAACTATTTAATTTTATTTTCTACCACAAAATTACTGTTGACAAGTCATATTAAACTGAACTTTTATCTCAACAAAAAACATCCCACATAGATTGGTTTAGACAGACAGCTTCAAGTTAGCTAACAGCTAATCTAATTATTTCGCACTTTGGTAATGAAAGACGATACAATCTAGTTTTCGGGGGAGTTTTCTGATTGTACAGGGTTTATCTTTCAATACTAAATAAATTTTAAGTTTTGTAAGTATTTGTTATTTGCCAACGATCTTAAATTATATGAAATGTAAGATCTTTAAAAGATTGTTATAATATTCAGGGTTGAACTGGATTTTTTCTAGCTAAATGTCAGGGTTGTACTTGATTTTATCTATTTTGCGTTTATAATGACTTCATTATACCACCCAAAACTTTAATTTTATATTTTTATGATTTTTCAAGTACTAACGAGACTTTTCTGGCAATAAATTTTGTTTAACACCAAAGAAAATCCTTTTTTTTCTTCTTTTACATTATTGTAAATAAGTAAATTAAGGACGGCATGGCGAATCGATTTTGACATTTACTGTCATACCAATAACTGTGATACCAACTATCTAAAGTAAAATTCGACCAAATTAAATTTAAGATATAAAATTAATTTTTTCAGGTAATGGATGACCGATGGGAGAGCGAGGTAATCGAATACGGGGCCATCAACATCACCGGCTTCCGCATTGTAGACGAGTCCAAGAAGCATGTCAAGGACTTCCTGGAAAACTGGAAACGCCTGGAGTCCCCCACTCAGGGGGGCAAAGAGACCATCTCCGCGCAGGCAGCCCTCATGTACGACGCTGTATTCGTATTGGTGGAAGCTTTTAACAAACTTTTGAGGAAGAAACCCGACGTCTTCAGGAACAACATGAGGCGCGGGCAAATCTACAACAACGGTAGCAAAGGACTCGATTGCAACGCCAGTGGTGGATGGGTCGCCCCCTGGGAGCATGGAGATAAAATTTCCAGATTGCTGAGAAAGGTACGATTATACCCCTGGGAGCTTTTAAGGGTCGTTTTATGACTAAATAAATTAGGGGTATCATGAATTTATTAGGTAGTTTTATTGGATGCATTGGTGTGATTTTTTAATGCATCATACATAACATAATAATTTTTAAATGGGCAGCATGCCCATAATATGAAAGGTTATGACTAGACATAGTTGGGATTATATTAATGTATATTTTTTACATATTAAACAAACATAATCGAATAAGATTTAGTTAAAAAAACAACATGCAAAATTATTTTTAATTTTTAAATTATTATTACTATAAATGCTAATTTCATTACAAGAACCATTAAACTTCCTTTCGTTGCACAGAACACAAGAAAATCCAGTTATTACATAAAAGATAAAAAAGAGACCGTACTTTTAATCCAGTGTTGTCAGATAAAGTGCAAAACGCCCGAGGAAAAATGAAACGTTAACATATTCGTACGTTTATTCCCCAGACCAATTTTAAAAGCACATTCGCCTAAATAATGCAGACATGCATAAGTAATACGGTAAGTCATTTAAGTGTTAAATGAAAACTCGTATTAAAACTCTTTGGGAATTTATTCTGCCGGCATTTTTCCCTTGCCGCAAAATGAAAAAATCACACAAGCTGACCATTATACAACGGATTATCAGTAATTAGTTCCCAGCCATTTCAGTGGCGTATTTTTAAATTATGCTATTATAAATAATATTTTTTTAAATAATTATTATTTTTATCGACTTACCAGAGGTAAAACTTTTTATATTAATTTCTCGAGAAAAATGCATTCTTCAAATGATAAAGATTATTTTTTATTTTTGGTTGTTTCACTGTTTGTCTAGAATGGGGTTTTTGGGAAGCCACCAGGTCTAGTAATAACATAACATAAGTGGTTCTGCACTAATGCAAGAATTTTAAGAAATCATACATTTTGAATATTAACGCTTCACGGAGGTTAGGATTTTGTATGTTTTTTTAAAACATCCCTTTGTATATTTGAAGTAAGTTATTGTATCTTTTGACACCTTAATATTTTTTTTAAATATAATTGTACATACATAAAATACTTACTTCACGGTGGATAGGTTTTTAAATAGCAAATTAATAAACTTAAACTTTTAAATTATAAAACAGCAACACTCTCATCTGCATATAAATTCTAACTGGCCTTCAGGAATCACATGCGTCTATAATGTCGTAAACAGAGGTTTTTGCTTATTTAAAATGATTAAAGCGCCATCCGTTGCATAAAAGTTAAAGCAAAAACAGATTCACGGAGGATAGAATTAATTTTTGTAACACCTACATAAATGGTTATAAAATTATTTCTTTTCATTCTTAATAATATTTTATATTTGATTCGATTGCTTTGGATGTGTTTAATTTACTTAGTGAACTGATATTTTTAGGGGGACATTTGTTGAGATTCACCCATATACAGAATGGAACAAATTCATTAAAAAATAAAAACTTGTCATGAAAATATGTACGATAAGGTAAAAGTCTTTAGGTAGAGTACTTATCTGCGATATTCATTTGGAGACAGTAAAAAGTTAACTTTATATTGGCGATCGTAAAATCTCTCGAGTAAAACGCTTCGAGGCAACTTTTTGATGTGCGTCACGTACGAAGACTTAAGCTGTTTCTCTAGGGACTGCACAAGTTGCCCAAACTTACCTCTAAGCGAATTTTATTAAATACTGATCCACATCACATACTGCTTTGGTGGATAAGAATTTTTAATATAAATGAAATAAAACTTTCGTACTTGGGAAAAGAGTTTATGAAAAAATCGCCATACTTCTATTCCTGTTAAAAATTTTAATAATAAAGTAATTTAAATACCAGAACACAAGTTTACTCCGGAAGGGGCCCTTATAAGACTACGTGTTCATAAGTTTGATCGTAAATCCCTTATAAATTATTATGAAATATAAATTATTTTTAAAATAAAAGTTTTAACTTTAGTTTATCATTTAATGTATAAAACCATATTAAGAACTTTTTACAGCTAATAATTTAATCTGCTTTATTATACGACCGTGTGCTAGCTTCTCAAGAGTAGTTTCTCTCAAAGTGAAAATCGGTGGTCAAAACTTAAGTATAGGACGAACAAAAATGCCAACCAAAACTGATAGCACATTTTGGTAACACTAACATATATTTATCAAAATCCCAGCTGATCCTATTTTAAAGTTTTGCAAACTTTTTTGTTTTTCTATATATTATTTTGCAATTATTGTACTAAAACTACCTGTACAATTTTAATAAAATTAAGCAAAATAATAAACTTTGTATCATTTAAATTACCTACTTTACTCCCCAGTATTAATTTATTGAGTCACCTATTATTTATTACAAAACATAAAAAAAAACGAAGAATTATATCTTAAATATTTTTTATAACAAAAAATAATTACAACTTGCAAAATTTGTAAAACAATAATTAAGGTTGTTATGAAAACAATTGCTACACGTTATAACGCAAGTGACATTTTGCTTTAGTTGTTTATTTAATGTATACTTTATAAAGTTAAAAATAGTATTTTAAAATGAAAATTAAACCGAAATTCAAGTTAAGCCATGAAGAAAATCGAAAGAAGGTATGTGCTGGCTGTGGAGACAAAATTGTTTTTGGTAATCGAAAAATTCAGAGTGTTTTTGAGAAAATATAAAAATTACTGCAGACTTTTTCAATCAAACACTTTAACTTAAGTGATTTAAAATTAACTTCAATATGGTAAAAACGGTATTTTTGCATAGCCACAATTGCCAAATTTTCAAAATTTAGAAATTGCTAGAGAATTTCGCAGCAGCCAAGAATGTATGTGCTTTATCTGAAAAATTGCAAGATATAAAGGGCATAAAAAATTATTAAGGGAAGATGACGGACGACCGAACTAAAGTTTTGATATGCTCTTCCTTTCTAGGGGATATCGCTAGATGTAAGAAGCCAGTTTATACAGAGGCTGAAGAATTTAAAAATACTGTTTCCATGTTAAAAACAATTCCATGTAAAACCCAAGAAAAAGTTTTACTGAAAATTTAAGGCAAGCAGTAATTGATTTTGCTTCAAAGAATCTTTAGTTATTTATTAGTTTTGTATTAGGTACCTTAAAACATTAAATAAGATATTGCAAACTGTATTTTACATTATTTTGTATTTATAATGTAATTTATTTATATTTTAGTCATGTTTTTAAAAACATTTGATAATGGTACTAGGGTATTTTATCGAAATGGCATAAACAATTTTAAAATACTAAGAAATATGCAAAACTTTAATAAAGGATCAGCTGGGATTTTGATAAATACATTTTTGTGTTACCAAAAGAGTCTATAATCAGATTATGCTATCAGTTTTGGTTGGCATTTTTGTTCGTCCTATACTTTAGTTTTGACCACCGAGAAAAGCAGTGTAAACTTTTATAGAAAAGTAAAAAAATAATGTGCACCTAAAATCGATAAATTAAAAATCACAGACATTAGAGCTTAAACACGATTAAACCGATTAAGTAGTGTAGATTGCTGACAGCCCGTAAATCCAGCTTTGTATTTACAAAGATTAAGATAAATAGTGTGTTGTTCTTTTTCCGGCTTGACAAGCGATTTTTCTCGTTCTCAGCCTACTACTGCGTGACAAGGATAATTAGGAGTAGTGCACGAAAGTGTCGAAAAGATACCGCCGATGATACACCCGAACATTTGCATTTGAGTGAGCCACTCGAGGCCTGATTGCTCGCCTATTTAAAACCTTTGTGTTTGAGGGCTTAATTCACTTACAGTTTGAAGTATATACTGGCGTTGAGTTTTCAGTTAAAATTTTACCAAATTCTGTACACAAATTCTTCATCTTCATTCATAAAAATATGAATTCTGTTGTATTAATCCCGGCGCATTCGCTATTTTTTTAAATTCCACAAAAATGTTGACTAATTAATTTTCTTTATTTTCAGGTTGAAATCGAAGGTTTGACAGGCGAGATCCGATTCAGCGAGGAAGGTAGACGTCAAAATTACACTCTACACGTGGTGGAAATGACAGTTAACAGCGCCATGGTGAAAGTTGCAGAATGGAGCGACGAAACTGGTTTCACTCCAGTGGCAGCTAAATATACAAGGCTAAAGCCTATCGCTCAGATTGAAAGGAATAAGACCTATATAGTCACCACTATAGTGGTTAGTTTTAAAATAAATATTGTTAATAAATTTACCAACAAATGTTACACGGAGAGAAATGTATAGTAAAGTTTACTTTAACAAATTTTTAGGGTAACAATATTATATATTCGTCAATACAAAATTAAGATTGTAATACATAATAGTAATTTTTATTGTACAATTTAAAATGAAGAATATATATTTTAATTTTTAATATGTTCGTATAGTAAATTGATTTTACTATCTACAAATAGTAATCAAATGTAAGGTGTACATCTAATATTATAATAATTACACATTAATAAAAAATATAGTAAAAATAAAGATACTTTTATGTTTAAGGTAAATAAACAAAATATTTAAATATAATATACTCGTACAATATAGTAACACATGACATTTTAAACATTCAATTTTCTTAGTTTCTTCACTAAACTTTCTTGACCCATTACTGGTAATACTTATAAGAAAGAATTGAACCTACTTGGTTGCATAGTATGTACCGATTGCGGCAAAGGCCACGTCGCGACGCGTCGTTAGACGGTGTGGATCACGTAATGTTCTTACATCCCGCCTCTGTTGGCTTACCAGCCATGTTATATAAGCTCAGGTGTTTCTTTGTTTTGGGTGTGTTCCACTACTACAAGTTGCTCGACAGTGTCGTGTCGACACTGATGATACCCAATATAGGTCAAAACACCTGTCTTTCGGTATTTGAAGTTGATGGAACGCACTCAAAACAAAAAACTTTAGCGAGGTGTAGGTTCAATTCTTTCTCATAACATTTTTGTATATTAAAAAGTAAAATAAATATGTTACAATTTTTAATTGTTAACATATAAAAATATTCGATTTTACAATATTTTATATTTAAAATGGCAACATAATATTTTAAAATTTACTATACTTATTAGTAATGGAAAAAATCTAATTATAATAATAATTAAAAACAAAATTGGTTGAGAATAATAATATTTTACCTTAAGGTTTAACATACATGGATATTTAAAAATTACTAAATATGCATAGTATCTGGCAATATACAAGATTGTTGTCCCAAATAGTAATATAAATTATAGTAAAGGGTATTATAATTATGGTAATCAGCATTATACTTTTCTCTCCGTGTACCAACTGATTTAGCATATCTGTGGATAAGAATAAATCAATTGTTTTAATATAGTGAAATGTCGACTATTTTTTTTAATGATTGCTATAATTATTTTTTTAGGAAGAGCCATATATAATGCTAAGGACCCCTGAACAAGGTGAAATTTTGACTGGTAATGACCGATTTGAAGGTTACTGTAAAGATTTGGCCATCTTGATATCGAAAAAACTTGGAATAAACTGTAAGAAAATACTTTTTCTACACTTTCAAAACTGATAATTTTAACTTTTTAGTTGAACTGAGGGTGGTAAAAGATGGAAATTATGGTGCTGAAAATCATGATACTAAAGGCGGATGGGATGGAATGGTGGGGGAACTAGTCAGAAATGTAAGTAAAAATAATATTAATAATAATAATAATAATAATAATCTTTATTCATCAACTATAAGTTGCTTCCAAAAGTCTTTGGTAATTATTTCCTACCTTAAGTATTCAATACCACATATTTTTTAATATACAGGGTGTCCCGAAATTAGGGGGCCAAACTTAAACAGTGCACCCTAACGGAGCTAATTTTTTTAAAAGGGTTGAACACAAAGAAATGATTTTTCGGTACTTTGGTAATTTTGACATGCTGAATCTAGATCTATGATAAAAACTGTTAAAACTAAATCATAGGCGTTTCATTTGGGGGGGGGGCAAAATTAGAAAAATAGCCCCAACTTCTTTCTAGGTTAATATTTTAATTTTTTTTATGAAATTTATAAAAATTTATATTTTTTTACGAAAAATAGGTACCCTTGATTTGAATAGCTCAGATGTACTATTTTCGAGAAAACTGCATTTATAAATTACTCTGCATAGCCTACACATCTCATATTTTCATTAAATCTTTGAAGTAGGCTTTGGAACAAAAGTGACGTTTGGGTTATTTGCTGACTTTACATTTATTGTAATAGTTTAGTTAACATTTTCTGGTTTCATGTTCGTTATATTTTTATTAAGAAGCGATTTTCCAAAAGGGATCTAGCTGATTTAATTTATAAACGTTATTTTTCTTTTCGATATAACTACAATGTCATGTCATGTGGAATGTCTATTATTATTATAAAATAAAAACACATTCGTAGGTAATTATGTATTAAACGACTAGGCACTGGAAAACACAAATTTACTTTAGTAATTGTTCAAACAAATTTCTATTTTGTTGAATGCACATTCTGGACCTTGTTTTGATTATTTCAGTCGATCGAAGAATTTCGAACAATTTTTTTTTATTTGATTTCCAGCAGCATTAATCCTTCTTGGAAGCTCTTCTGGGCTATCTACTTCTGTTGAGTAAATAATATTGCACATATTACCCCACAGATAATAATCCAAAGGATTAAGATCAGGCGATCGAGCTGGCCAGTTTACTGGGCCACCTCGACCTATCCACCTGTTTGGGAAATTATTATTTAACCAGTTCCTCACATGCTGTCCAAAATGGGCCGGCGCCCCATCATGCTGGAAGATTATCTAACCGAGTCTGAGCAATTCTCCCATTTCATTTTGAAGAAAATTTAAATAATTATTTGCATTTAATCTATTGGGCAAAATAATAGGACCCATTAACGTATCCCCTATGAGACCATACATTAAAAGAAAACCTCTGTTGAAAGTTGGTCCTTCGAACTCGGATTCTCATTACTCCAAAAATGAGTATTATGCATGATAAATGCCTTGCCTCTTGAAAAGGTTGCCTCATCCGACCATAAAATATTCCTTAATGCGTTTTGGTGGTTTCGAACCCAATGGCAAAATTCAACACGAGGTGGAAAATCTTCGGCTGGACCCTTTGATAATGAAAAGGATGTAGTCTCTGCATTTATGTGCTCGATTAAATTTTAAATAAATTCTTTTGTCGGAATAAAATCTTTGTCCATATAAGGTGTAGTACCTACATTGGCCTTTTACAAACGAAATCACGGTGACGATGCCAGTTATGGAAAACAAATCTATTATGATACTTATACTTACAATTGATTTAAGGATATTGGTAATATTTGCCAGCGATCTTATTGAGATTTGAGAATTTTCTTCAATTCTATTTAGCACCCCCTCCAAATCATAATTTTCCATATGCCTTCCTTCCCCTGCAAACGCCTAAATGACCCATGTTTCACTAAATTTCTATGTACTTTAAATATTTTTCAATGTGGTGGGCTATGGAAATGATTTATGACAATGATTTTTTCTTCAAAACAGAGTCTTTCGTGTTCTGCAATGAAACACACTGTAAAAGGTTATTCACTGACCGTGAGACACCCTGTATAATATAAACTAATCGAGTTTTGCATTTAACGTAGATACGATTAGTAAAGTCGGGAGGATTATTGACAAATACCTATATTTTCTATAAACTTAATATTGCGGTTATGATAGGAGAAGGGGCTTTTCTGCTAAGATAACAAGTGGGTCGTATGATAAGGAAATTTCGTATTGAATTGAATTCGAAGTTCAATTCAAGTGACGATCGCATTCGGCGATATAAAGGGTGAGATAGTATTGGTCAATAAGTTGAAATGACAGCTGTAACGAAGCTGAATTAACTAACAACAGTGAAACTGGTTTGCCTCGAGTCGATAGATATAGCAATAATATAAAAAGTATATTTTATAATTTACTATTTTTTCTTTTTGATCATAGGAAGCCGATATGGCCATTGCCCCGATGACAATAACATCAGAAAGGGAACGTGTCATCGACTTTACGAAGCCTTTCATGTCTTTAGGAATCTCGATAATGATCAAGAAACCTATGAAACAGAAGCCGAGCGTGTTCAGCTTCCTGAATCCTTTATCCAAAGAGATCTGGGTGTGCGTGATATTCAGCTTCATAGGAGTCAGCATTGTTTTGTTCACGGTGTCTAGATTTTCGCCGTATGAATGGAGGTTGCTGCATTTGACTGGGGAACATAGGGACCCAGGAAACCAGGTAAGAAAATATATTTAAAAAAAATAATAATAGTAATAATAATTAAATATTTCAGCACACAAATCATGGAGGTACAATGGCAAACGACTTCACAATGTTGAACTCTCTCTGGTTTTCTTTGGGAGCATTCATGCAACAGGGTTGCGATATTTCGCCCAGGTCCATTTCGGGAAGAATTGTGGGGGCTGTTTGGTGGTTTTTCACCTTAATACTTATTTCGAGCTATACTGCAAATTTGGCGGCATTCTTGACTGTCGAAAGAATGGTTGCTCCCATCAACTCACCTGAGGATTTGGCTTCGCAGACTGAGGTGGAGTATGGGACTTTAGTTAATGGTGCTACATGGGACTTTTTCAGGGTAAATATATATATAACACTATGATAGTTTTAGAAACTTTTTTTATTAGTTTAACTAATTTTGGGCCGCTGATTTCAAAAATCGTTTTTGTCTAGGAAGTCTAGGGTTTAAAATAATTTCCTAATATAATGCTCTGCTCAATCACCTCAAAATTTAATGCATTGCATAATTATGCTTTTTTCTACCGTAAATTTATTAAATCGTATCAAATATCGAATTGAATTATAGTATTATTGTGCTTAATCCTCATCATCGTCGTACATCTTTTGCTGCAAATTCCAGCAAATGTCTCCTAGCAATGAATCCAACTTCTTTCCGCTATACCCATAGATATCTACCAATGCTCTAGATTTGCAGTTACTTGGTGAAATCGTTCTCCATGTTCATCAGTTCGGCAAATTTATCAGGAAGAAAAAAAAAGAAAATGTATTTTAAATGGCATATTAACGCTAATTCTTTGCAAAACGGAAAGCATTTTTTCAATGAATTGGCGCCAATTTTAGGCCCGATATGAACCAAGAACATTTTCAAAGACAGCTTTAACACTGCCATATGCGACAAGCTCGTCAACTTTGAGAGCATTTTTGAATTCTTGATCTTTCATTAAACGTCGTATATCAGGTGCATTTAATATTCCTGCAAAATTAAAGTAGTAGGTATATCTCATAAAATTTTGTAATGAAATATTGCGTTGGTTTTTCTTGGGCGTAAAGGTACCGCTACAAAAACAAAACAAATTTACAACGACGACATAAAGGTTCGTCTCCTTTCTCTTTATCTGCCACTTCCATTACCACTTTCATTTTCTGCCCTTTTTTAATTTTTGGTTCTTAAAATCACTTTCAAGTAAAAATACAATTTAAAACGAGTGGCATTTTTAAAAAGAGCAGACCAAACTTAGGTAATATAGGTGGGCGTACTCAATGTTAGTAATTCGAACTATCATAGTGTAATTAATATTTCACAATTTTGATATTTTTTTTTGCACACCTTGCAGAGATCACAAATAACCCTCTACTCAAAAATGTGGGAATACATGAACTCCCGAAAGCAAGTTTTCGTCAAATCCTACGACGAAGGGATACGAAGGGTTCGGCAGTCGAAAGGAAAGTACGCATTACTAATAGAATCACCTAAAAACGATTATACAAATGAAAGGGAACCTTGCGATACCATGAAGGTTGGAAGAAATTTGGATGCCAAGGGTTTTGGAGTCGCCACACCTTTAGGATCACCCCTAAGGTAAGTATCATCAAAAATTTATATTTTTTACTTTTGTCCCTTACAATGTAAAATAAGTTTTTTTTTAATTTGATCAAAAACTTTCGTGGAAGTCTACAATTAATAAAAAGCAAATCAATTACTTCAAAGGATTCAATTAATCAATCTTGGTTTAAAAACTCTTTATAAAATTAATTAAGCGTTAACTAATAAAATATCGACATCGTTTTAATGATTAACAAACCATTAGGCTTTTGTTCAATAGCACGATATTTTTCTTTGTTGCAGGGACGCAGTTAATTTGGCTGTTTTGGGCCTAAAAGAGGACGGAGAATTGACGAAGTTGATGAACAAATGGTGGTACGATCGCACAGAATGTGTACATGAAAAACAGGTGAGATTTTTGATACCCAAGAATAAATATATACAAACATGATGTATCGAATCAAAAATAGTATATTATGTATCAAGTTTTATAAACGCCATTTTATAGAAAAGAAAAGGCAAATACTTTTATTATCTAAAAATGATTTAAATCAAAAATTTGTATAGAGCGCCATCTATGAAACAATAGGGAAATCTGTGTGTCACCGTCAAATGTCAAATTTTTATATTTTATAAACACAGATTATAAATCGAAATGTAATATTTCTTGAAATTGACAGTTTTTCACAGTGAAAGTAAAGAAAATGTTTTATGAGGACTTTACAGTGGAATCCGTGCCCGAATTTAAGCGAAATTAAAAGCTCATTACAATGTTCATATAAACTTTTCCAATATTGGCGTTGAGAAACTATTTAATACTTTTGTATTTTTGTATTGAAATAATAAAATAATTTTCACATTTAGTATTATTTTACAAGAAAGGCACTTTATTTTAACAATTGTATGACATTTGACAACTGTCAACTAACTTAAAACTAACTTCAGCCCGTGACTAAAGCGCCGTAAAGCCACAACTTGTCAATGTGTATTTAAAAGGTCACTTAGTGTCATGGAAACATGTACGATAAAGGGCGTTTTAAAGGTGGGAGTAGAAAAACATATTTAAAACTCCAAATAAACTAAATTTTAACAAAATCGAGTGGCATGGCCTTTTTATATTTAAATTTAAACTTGTGCAGGCTAAAAATTTGAAATTCTAATGATAAAAAGACACATGTTCAATTGAATACAAAAGCGATATCGGGATGAGATTTCCTTCAATTCTTTTTGAAGACACTCGAAACAGACTAAACAGTTTGCCTTTTTAAACCTTTTGTGACATGTCAAGACCTTTTAAAGAATATCAATCAAAACAGTGAACGTAAGTTTACTGTTTAAAAATGCGTTTTTGTTTTTTAATGCATAAATAAATCAAATACAATTGAATTATAAATTGTTTTAAATAATTTTTATTTTTTAAGAATATTATTACAGAAAAGAATATCTATATCAGGTAAAAAAAACATATTTTAAACTTCTGAAATAGTTTGTTGCAAATATCATTAAGTGTGGTATCTCTAGTTTGTGAAGCATTTATAATGTTTAGGCCAGAACAGGATGATTTATATATATCTAATATTTTTTCGGGTGGTATGTTAAAAGTATTTTCCGAATGTATTAATTTTGTTGTCATTAGTTTTTTATGTTCTCTATCATGCACTGTATTTAAATCACTGTTATTCTGCAAGATGTCCTGTGACGAAGAAATCACTATATTACTTACTCTCTAAAAATGAATTAGTCAAACATGTCATAGCGAAAAAGCAGCCACTAATAATTCTCGTCAACAGCAATTTGTATCTAGGACATTTAGCAGTCAATTCCTATGAAATATTATTCGCTGAATCCGATAATGTCGTCAAAAGTTATAAAAGTAGAACAGTTTTTAAAATATAATCAATTTTACATATAATATGGAATTGACTATATCTCAAAAACTGCTTAACTTTTATAGTTTTTGACGGTCTTTTCGGATTCAGGGGACAATTTTACATAAGAATTGGCTGGTAAATGTCCGGGATACAAATAGTATATGATATTGGACATATGTCCAATAATAGAAATTTAAATTTTTTGGTCGGTTGGGTTGTGTTGTTCAAATTAGGATGGTTTGGGTTTATGACGTAACTAACGTGCCTTTAACATTTCAAATCGCGGCACGTTAGCGTGCCCTAGTCACAGCAAATAAACAATGCAAAATGTCATCTATGACAACAAACAACCATTTAAATCAAAATGACATTTAGCAATGAAAAATGTCATTGTTTACCTAAGTTTTTTTGTGCCTCAATTATTGTTAAAAATGGTTCATAATTATAGCAATAATGAATTAGTGGAAATGTTACTAATTTATGGAGAGTGTCGTCAAAATTCAAATGCTGCAACTTAAGTAAATAATGATATTTTTTATTGCAAAATGTCAATTTGATTTATTGGTTATGTTTGTTGTCAAATATGACATTTTGCATTGTTTATTTTAATATTTTTATGGTTATGTTTTTCGTTAACAATAGCCAGGACCGGCTTAAAATTTAATTAAACTTTAATGGGCTATAACTTTTTTATTTTTGAGTTTTGATAAAAAAGTTACTTAAAATATTTATTTGTCTAGCTGATTTCTACACGCTGTTAAAAGGAACGCGTCAACTTAAAACTCACCCTGTATAAAATTGTATAAACTATCCTTTTTATATATTTATAAGAAACAACTAAAATCTTTAAAACAAAGGCATGTATAAATTTTAAATAAATAATATTCCTTAAGTGTCCAATAACTATGTACTTTACCCTAGGTAATTTTAGCATAATAAAGTAGTTTTACCGAAACAATTTTAACACATTACAGTGTCGAACTTCTGCAATGTTACGTGCAACATTGAAATTATACCTCACTATAGTGTGTGATTTTTTCACTTCGATCGCGGGACTTCCGTCTTTGTTTAGTTCACGTGCTAATATTGTTGCAGAAACTTTTCGCAAAAGTGTTTCTGTCTATTTGCGAGAAGCTATAATAAAATCAATAGGCAACCTACGAGCCTGCACCGACCAAAATTGATATTAAATTATATGGCGTCAAATTCTAAATTATTCAGTAAGGCAGGAGATTTCATTAAAATGTCCTAGAACGACTACGACGTCTCTAGGGTAAATAGACATTTCCGTTTGCATACCCTAATTAAAATTTACCGAGCCACTATTTTAATATCCTTATAAATTAGTATAGGTACTAATTTATAAAATTATTTCAATTTTTCAATTTTTGTGTCCCAAATAAGTTTCAGAAGTTGTAATAATAATAATAATAATAATAATAATAATAATAAACACAAACATATTTCGCTTAGGCATTACCATATGTAAAAAACACGGTTTTGGATATAAATATTAAAACTCTTATAAAAAAAAAATATTTTACTATTTCGTATATTTAAATTTTTAGTACAATTATCCTCTTTTAAACCCCTTAATATGAATTATAACTACTGGACAAATAAATATTTGTAGAACATTAAACTGATTTTTACTTTAAAAACTTGAACAAAATAATTACACTATAATAGTTTTGGAAACTTTTTTTTTCCTAACATTAAGCTTAGTTTAACTAATTTTGGGCCGCTGATTTCAAAAATGTAATTAGTTTTTCTCTAGGGCGTCTAGGATTTAAAATAATTTCGTAATAAAATAATGCATAATTTTGCTTTTTTCTACCTTAAATTTATTAAATCGTATCAAATATCGAATTAAATTATAGTATTATTGTGCTTAATCGTCATCATCGTCGTACATCTTTTGCTGCAAATTCCAGCAAATGTCTCCTAGCAATGAATCCAACTTCTTTCCGCTATACCCATAGATATCTACCAATGCTCTAGATTTGCAGTTACTTGGTGAAATCGTTCTCCATGTTCATCAGTTCGGCAAATTTATCAGGATGAAAAAAAATAAAATGTATTTTAAATGACATATTAACGCTAATTCTTTACAAAACGGAGAGCATTTTTTCAATGAATTGGCGCCAATTTTAGGCCCGATATGAACCAATAACATTTTTAATGATAGCTTTAATACTGACATATGCGACAAGCTCGTCAACTTTGAGAGCATTTTTGAATGCTTGATCTTTCATTGAACGTCGTATATAAGGTCCATTTAATATTCCTGCAAAATTAAAGTAGTAGGTATATCTCATAAAATTTTGTAATGAAATATTGCGTTGGTTTTTCTTGGGTGTAAAGGTACCGCAACAAAAACAAAACAAATTTACAACAACGACATAAAGGTTCGTCTCCTTTCTCTTTCTCTGCCACTTCCATTACCACTTCCATTTCCTGCTCTTTTTTCATTTTTGGTTCTTAAAATCACTTTCAAGTAAAAATACAATTTAAAGTTTAAATTTTAAATGTCAATAGATGCACTTTAGTGTGCTTGAACGATAAAGTAGATAAAGGCGCCTTTATACTTCAATTCGATATTAAATTTTGATAAGACTTAATAAATAAGATTGGAGATTGAATTTTTGGGTACTTTAGGCATAATGTAAATAAAAAAAATATCAAATAATAGTCGAAGAGTAATGTTTATACCGAAACCCATTTACTTTGTTGCCTTTTCAATTTAATTAGTAGCTAATTAAAAAAACGACACAAAAATGTCAAAAAATGATACTTTAGTTTTGGTATTTAATACTACTATAGTATACGACTACAATGGAACAAAAATGTTTCTATTTGACATTTATTTACCGATGACTTTGTATGGAGTCCCTGTATATTTTTGACAAAAAACGTCAAAAATATACTGAACATCCAAAATAGATTTAAGGCAAAATAATTCATTAAATAATAAAAATATTAACAAAAAACTTATATTTTGAGATAATTGGGCAGAGCATTTTATCACGCAATTATTTCGAATCCTAGACGTCCTGGAGCAAAACGAGTGGCATTTTTGAAATCAGCAGCCCAAAATTTGGTGTACTCAATGTTAGTAAATCGAACTATCAATGTAACCACTGTAATGTAATGTTTATAAATAAATTAAAATTAAAATTACTCAAAATTCTTACAACAAACAACCCACAGCGTTAACAAGAAGACACTTATTTAGCAAGAAACTTTATCAAGCGACAGCGAAAAGTGCAGTGTAGAAAGGGGTGTAGCACGTGCTGCAAGCGTCAAAGAAAAACATGTTTGTTTTTTGGACACCCAGTATTTTAAAGGTTGCAAAAATATTATAAAATAGTAATACAAACATAGAAATAGATGCTACTTTTAGAAAAATCTTTATAATTATACTTTTATATTTTCTGTTCTGTTATTAAATCATCCAATTCATTAAATTCCTTGGTTATCATAATTATAACGTTAAAAGGCTCTTGTAACGGTCGATTCAAAGTACTTACTTAACAAGATTTCTACTTTTCCTTATAAACTGACGTTTATTAAGATTTATTTCGAAATTATACCTTTCGGAACTGCTGAAAGATTACACGATTCGGGCACTTGTAAAGTTTATACTTTTAATAGTTCAAGTAGGGATTTAAAAACGAAACTTACTTATAATTAATTAAAAAGTTGTCCTCCGAACTTGAATGCATTTAGTACAAAGTACCCAATGCCCAACTTTTCATATTACTAGAGACCGAAAGAGCTGTATGGCAATTAGGGTAGATAAACTTGATTATGCATTTTAAACAGAATTTTACGATTTCATTAAAGGGTTTATTAGTTTAAGAAATGCTTGAGCTAGACTCACTTATATATACACTCACAGTAAAATAATCGATCCACACAAATTTTCGATGAATTTCAATCGCAAATAAGTTTTTTATTTGATTTCGGATTTAAACAAATATTAAAGAATATTGTAGATAAATTAATGGAGAATCGCTCACATTTTAAAAATTACTAAAAAATACACGTACGTTTATAATATACAGGTTTAAACAAAAATATGTTTTTTACCATAAGTTTAAGACACTCTGTAGAGTGGCAAAACCGTATATTATTATTATTATTATTATTATTATTAAGTTTTAATTATCAAATCACATCTATTTTTAACAGTTTTGTTTTTGGTTCACCTTGATATACTTATTTTTGTGGAAAATATGGATTTTTTTAAAAAAACCATTGCAATTTCCAATATTTTCTGTTTGAAGAACTAAGGTTGCTATTGTCCATCCATAGGCTATGGAGGATAACAGTGACAGTTTTGTTGAATCATCCCATACTTGGACATGTCATATACATCTTTCAAAAGCTATCAAATTTTTTTGTAAATTAATGTGTTAATTTTGAGGTGTCTTCTTACTTTTAAAAATGTCTCCGACTGATGTTGCCCTTTGTACTTTATTTCTTGTGACGTTTAAAACACTTTCCACGTAATACTGTGACCGTCCATCCTGGATTAAATTAATGGCTCTGGCAACATGAGTAGGAGACATATCCATTTTTTAAAGTAAGAAGACATTTCAAAATTTAAACATTAATTTGCAAAAAAAAATTTAATAGCTTTTGAAAGCCGTGTATGACATGTCCAAGTATGGGATGATTCAACAAAACTGTCACTGTCATTCTCCATAGCCTATGGATGGACCATAGCAACCTTAGTTCTTCATACAGAAAAATATTGGAAATTGCAATGTTTTAAAAAAAAATCCATATTTTCCACAAAAATAAATACATCAAGGTGAATCAAAAACAAAACTGTTAAGAATAGATGTGACTTGATAAATAAAACTTAATTTAGAACAATATACGGTTTTGCCACTCTACAGAGTGTCTTAAACTTATGGTAAAAAATATCATTTTGTTTAAACCTGTATATTATAAACGTACGTCTATTTTTTTAGTAATTTTTTAAAATGTGAGCGATTGTCCATTAATTTATCTACATTGCGAGTTAATAATAGTTGGTTTCTCTGGTAACGCTTTTCTCTTTTGACAGTGGCAGTGACAGTTCTATATGCAGATATTTTTATCGTTGCATAGTTTTACATATGAAAAACATTTCTTGATTTTTTCTCTTGTTGCAGGATGCGTCTAGGAACGAGCTGTCCCTAAGCAACGTTGCAGGAATATTTTACATTCTGATTGGTGGGTTGTTGATCGCGTTGGCGGTGGCTCTCATCGAGTTCTGCTACAAATCGCATACGGAAGCGACAAGAGCTAAAATTCCTCTCAGCGATGCAATGAAGGCTAAGGCGCGCCTGACAATTGGCGTGGGGAGAGACTATGACAACGGAAGGGTGAGTGACGATTTTTTTTTTTTATTGGGAAATCGTTTTTCGTTTTTATACGTTTTTCAGCAAATTTTAAATTCACCCAGATGTCCTCGACATGTCACAATCAATACTCGCGCGAATCAAAGATTCTCGCCTCATCATTATCATCAATTCGCTTCTTAATTTGACTGGTAAAATACAAACATTCAGTGTTGCAATTTAGCATAAATATATGGCAAGGAAAAGCAACTAATACATTCGTTTTTGATTGCCTAATTTGTCAACCTATGTTACCAAGGGAAAAATGTGTTATTACAAATTTACAAAACCTGCTTATTTTGTTACTTTTTCTTACCTAAATATTTACACGAAAGAATACCAAAACTGGCACAAATAGTTGCATCCCATAGTAAAAAATGTACCACACCTCAAAGTCCCACCAGTGACCACGTACGGAACGCAGTCTTTTGAAAATTTGGCATTTAAGGCTTTTTAGGTTATGTATCTGTAAGTATAGTCAATGAAAGAAATAATATTTATAGTGTTACCGCTTATGTTTAAGCGTTAAAAGTTAATAAATCTTTATAGTATCACAATAACAATGGTTGGTTTAAGAATTTAGGAATATAAATACTGCATTTAATGAAATTACAAAGTGTAAGGTGCAATATAAGTAATATTTTTGTGCATGGGGTCTACATTTCTCCATAAAATAGTTTTAACTAAACAGCATTTATTTAAAAAAATCTAACTTCTCTATTATGAAATAAGAATATCTGTATCAAAGGTAGGTTAATGTATAAGAACAAAAAATATCATCTAATTTTGTATTTTAAGGTTATAAAAATCTGTTTGGACCAAAATAAATAAGTGGATTATTTGAAAGAGTGTGTTAATATGGTCATAAATAAATATAGGTATACTAAATAATTGTTGAATATAGTTCAAATTAAATTGAAGCTTTTATACTTCTAACAACAAAACTTGTGCATACCTCTCGGCATACTTACTTTAAGTTGGATTATAAGAAAACAAACAATTTTTAGAGAAACTTGCAATATGAAAATATTTAATACTCCCATGACATGTGATTTATTAAAATTTTTAAAGTTATAATGATTTTTTGATGTAGATCAAATTCAGTCGAAGCTTTTTAACTATTTGTATTGACAAAACTTTATGTAGGTACACTTTAAGCTGGATAAGAAAAACTACCACATTTTTAAATACCATATTATACAGGCTTTTAAATAATCCAAAATACTTATTTATTTTGGTCAAAATAAATTTTTCTAACCATAAAATTACAAAATTAGATGATATTTTTATTATAATATATTAACCTACCTTTAATACAGATATTCTTATTCCATAATAGAGAAGCTAGATTTTTTTAAATAAATGCTGTTTAAAATTATTTTATGGAGAAAACCAGATATTTGGACCAAATGCACAAAAATATTACTTATTTGGCACCATACACTTTAGAATTTAATTAAATGCAGTATTTAAATTCTTATATTCATAAACCATCCATTGTTATTCTAATGTTATAATAGTTATTTATGTATTAAGGGCATAATAAGGTTTTTATGGTCCGAGGCGGTATTTCGAGCCCGAGCGCGTTAGCGCGAGGGCTAGAAAAGCGTCGTAGGACCATAAAAACCAGTTATGCCAGCAATACATACAAAACTTTATGCACGATTAATATATTATTATTTTTAATATATTATTGTTTTTAAAGACGTTTACGTCAAAGAATTTTTGGTTATAATTGTCATATTATAATGTCAACTGACATCAGTCAGTTTTAAAGTTTAAAGATGAATGAAATTGAGGAAGCAGCTGAGAAGGCGAAAAATTGCGGGCTGCTGCCGGAAAAATCAAAATCTTTATACGAAAAAACTTACTTCGAATATATCAAATGGTGTAACATTGTTGTTTTTAATTTTTGACGTTTCATTATAGCCCGCTGGGTCATAATAACGCCCGCGGGCTATAAAAAGACGTTTACGTCAAAGAATTTTTGTTATAATTTTCATATTATAATGTCATCGTGCATAAGGATTTATACATTTTTAACGCCTAAACATAATATTATTTCTTTCGTTGACTATACTTTGACAGATACATAACCTGAAAAGCCTTAAATGCCAAATTTTCAAAAGACTGCGTTCCGTACGTGGTCACGTGGTGGGACTTTGAGGTGTGGAGCATATTACATTTTTATCCCCAGTAGTTTACCAAACAGGCCGAAACTATTTGGAATGTTTGTTAATTGCTGTCAGAAACCATCTGAATGCAACTCATGGTAAGAAATGGATTGGATAATTGTCACTGTATTTTTGTTTTCAGGCGAAGTTTAATCTGACATTATTTTTAGTAGTAGAATAGAATATGAAAATATTTTACCTTATTTTAAACCCTGTATAAATTCCGCACAATAACAAAAAGTTAATTTACAACATGGTTTATATTTTAAAAAACTCTCCGGAAAATCCGAAAGCCCGTAAATTAAAATTAAAATTTTTATAGTTAATTTAAGCAAGCAAGAGACTAGTGAATGGCCTTATAAATTTAATATTCAAATAAGCATAATCTGTACCTACTGCGCCATGACTACGTTTATTAAAAATTCAACAAACAAGTTTTTTAATTAACTTCGCAACGCAGACGTAGGTACCGAGGTATTGGGACGAAGGTATATTCTTTGTTGACAATTTATCCAATTTAATATAAATGTACGTGGACCGGAATCTTTTAGACGGCGCGCCATTATAGCGGACAATGGCTGATGCTCGTCACAAGATTCGTACTTTTGCTGCTGGCTGGTTGGGTTTTAAATAGGGAGCGCTTGAAAAGGGCTAAATGAAACTGCTTAGGCATAGACGTACGTAATAACCATTAGTATTACGAGGTGTGTTCAGAAAATATCGGGAATTTTCGTTTTTTGAAACAAACATTTATTTATTCGTCTACATTAATGCTGTCGCCTTCAAAATAGTCCCCATTGGATATTATCCACATGTGCTAGCTCTTCTTCCAATACTCGAAACACTTCTAAAACTCGATCTTTGGAATAGCCTTTAGTTCTTTCAGCGATGCGCTTTTAATGTCATCTATGCTTGCAAAACGACGGCCCTTTATGGTTCTCTTTATTTTTGGGAATAGGAAAAAGTTAAACAGAGGCATGTCTGGCGAATATGGAGGCTGGGGCATCATTACAGTATTGTTTTTGGCCAAAAATGTTGTTCAAAATTTAACAATTTTAGAACAAATTTTGCTGCCATGCGTTTCATACCCAAAACATTCGAAAAAATTTCATGGGATGAGCCAATCGATATACCAACATCATCAGCGACTTCTCTGATGGTTTTTAACCATTTCTTCCACTTTTTCCATGTTTTTATCGGTTGTTAATGTGCTTGTGCGTTCGGGGCGTTCGTCATCCTCAACGTCTTCACGGCCATCTTAGAAACTCTTATACCACTTGTAAACTCTTGTTTTACTTATAGCAGACTTACTATAGGCCTTTGTTAACATTTCATTTATTTTATTTTTAAGGAAAATTGGATACAAATCCATTTCTTTTAACGAACGAAAAATCACCGAGCTCATAAAACACGTCTAACCTTAGCGGCTGCCACAGATAAAGTATACATTGAAAACAGCTAAAGTTTTTATCATACTTCGGGGGCATGTATACCAACATAATAAAGAAAATTTTATGACAACCGGACCCTTCAAACCCGCGAAATTTAACAATTCCCGTTATTTTCTGAACACACCTCGTATTATCCTATACATCTAAGGTATAAAAAATAGTGATTAAATAAAAATTTCCGCATACTTTGGAGAACGTTCATGGACCGACATCGTCTATCTTATAAAAAAAGAATAACCGGCATTACAAATGGCTCCTTTTAGCAACACAGCAGAAGCAGAGCATTAAGAAGAGAAGTTGGCAATAACACAACTTCTGTTATACAACCCTTAAAAGTGTCCCTTCGCCAAGAATTATGTACACTTCGTAGTCCACAAAAGCTCGACAGATGCAACGAGCTATAATATAAAATGCTTTCGCTACATATATGTATATACATTTGCGCGACGTCATTTATAAGAAATGAAAAAACTCGAGGGGATTTCATTCTTTTAACGCAAAAATAAAATGATATTTTTTCGTTAAAAGTCCTAAGAAAGAAGGCACTACCCACTACTTCTACTACCTAGACATATCTATTTTTGCATATAAAAGAAGACGCGCAATTATTTACTGCCTAGGTCGTATTTAGAATGAATTCAAGGGAGCTTTATTGTGCTGCAGCTGCTTTCAATGCCTATTCCCTATTTGAGCATTCCCTCATTCATTGTTAATCTAGTTAAATCAGTTTGTTGTTCAAATTACGACAGATAGTCTTGTTTGGTTTTAAGGTTAAAATAACCACAACCCAAACATCTCTTTTCGCTCTAACCCACAAATTTACCATAGCAACAAATTAACCTTAAAATTGACATTTGACAGTTGATGACAGCCCTGATAAAATAAATATGAAGAAAGAAGACTGTGCTTGCATGAGGATTAGCGGCCGTTGCTGCTAATACAATTATTTCATTATTTCCACCTGTGACTGTTGCTCGACGAACTCTTTTTTTCGGTTGAACACTCCCGTTTGTAGTAAACTGCTTGACTGTACGGTGAAATGAAGTACGTGATGGAATTTTATCCGGAAAACGCTGAGCGTAGATATCAACAGCATCATCAAGATTCCTGCCTGCTTCTCCATAAATCAAAATCATTTCTATTTTTTTTTCCACTGTTAACTGCTTAACGAAAGGAGGTATTTTTGTTTGCAAATTAATCTTCGAACTAAATTTATTAAATAATGCTATACTATAAATAGTTTCTTTATACCTCAATTAGGATTAAATTAATTAATTGACAAAATAATGTTTTTTTACCTTAAATGAGGTATTTTTATTAAAAATAGTACAATAATCCTTTAAATGGCAGGTAAAAAGTGACCATGGTGCGCAATTTATAATTATCACCGAATGAAATAATGTATAAAACTTAAACCAAAGGAAACTTAAATATTAGTTAAAAAATCGTGGGTACTTAAAAAAATCAGATTTAATTTAATAAGATAATTAATACAAAAAAAATGACATTTTTATAAAAAAAATATTTGCAGAATCGTATAAGAAGAAAAATCGAATAAAATTAATTTTTTTTCATTACAGCGCCATCTATTACAAATATGAAAAAATGTTTTAGATAAAATCTATCTCTATTTTTAGTCGAATGATCCGTATCTGAAATCATTTCTTCTCACCTGGTATAAAAAGTTTGGTATACTTTTCCAAAGTTTTTTATTAAGAGGGAATATTAGCAGCTACAAATGAACGGCAGTTTGATCCATTGCTTCACATGTCACAAAATAATATAGACCCATCTGTTTTAAAAACATTTCCATACTCTGAAAACTGAAAACATATCTTGTGTGCTATTGTTCTACTGCTAACGTTGTCCAGTTATTCAAAATAATAATTTTGAAGTGGTAAGTGGAATTTACAGGAGACAAAGCGAAGCGAATGCCAATGCATGCATATACAGAACAATTAATTAATGACCGGTCTCTTGTAGATAACTTCAGATAATGCAGTTGATTTATTTGCGCAGCTAGCAACTTGAACCAGCCGATTAATTACTCTTAACATGTTAATGTGTCGACCGACAACGGAATTACACAAGTGTTTATGGTGTCTTTACACTTCTGGGCATGACAATTTTGTTTATTAAAAAATTTAATAAATTACACCAACATATATGTACTATGCTCCACACCTCAAATTAACACCACGTGACCACGTAAGGAACGCAGTCTTTTGAAAATTTGGCATTTAAGGCTTTTCAGGTTATGTATCTGTCAAAGTATAGTCAACGAAAGAAATAATATTATGTTTAGGCGTTAAAAATGTATAAATCTTTATAACATTACAATAACAATGGATGGTTTAAGAATTTAGGAATATAAATACTGCATTTAATGAAATTCTAAAATGTATGGTGCCAAATAAGTAATTTTTGTGCATTTGGTCCAAATATCTGGTTTTCTCCATAAAATAATTTTAACTAAACAGCATTTATTAAAAAAAATCTAGCTTCTCTATTATGGAATAAGAATCTGTATTAAAGGTAGGTTAATATATTATAACAAAAATATCATCTTATTTTGTAATATTAAGGTTAGAAAAATTTATTTTGACCAAAGTAAATAAGTATATATTTTGAAATAATTTAAAGACTGTATAATATGGTATTTAAAAATGTGGTAGTTTTTCTTATCCAGCTTAAAGTGTACCTACATAAAGTTTTGTCAATACAAATAGTTAAAAAGCTTCGACTGAATTTGATCTACATCAAAAAATCATTATAACTTTAAATTTTAATAAATCACATGTCATGGGAGTATTAAATATTTTCACATTGCAAGTTTCTCTAAAAATTGTTTATTTTCTTATAATCTAACTTAAAGTAAGTATGCCGAGAGGTATACACAAGTTTTGTCGTTAGAAGTATAAAAGCTTCAATTTAATTTGAACTATATATAGTTCAAATTAAATTGAAGCTTTTATACTTCTAACGACAAAACTTGTGTATACCTCTCGGCATACACACATAATATATTCAACAATTATTTAGTATACCTATATTTATTTATGACCATATTAACAAACTCTTTCAAATAATCCACTTATTTATTTTGGTCAAAATAGATTTTTCTAACCTTAAAATACAAAATTAGATGATATTTTGTGTTCTAATACATACCTACCTTTGATACAGATATTCTTATTTCATAATGGAGAAGTTTTTAATAAATGCTGTTTAGTTAAAACTATTTTATGGAGAAATGTAGACCCAATGCACAAAAATATCACTTATATTGCACCTTACACTTTGGAATTTCATTAAATGCAGTATTTATATTCCTAAATTCTTAAACCAACCATTGTTATTGTGATACTATAAAGATTTATTAACTTTTAACGCTTAAACATAAGCGGTAACACTATAAATATTATTTCTATAATTGACAATACTTTGACAGATATATAACCTGAAAAGCCTTAAATGCCAAATTTTCAAAAGACTGCCTTCCGTTCGTGGTCACGTGGTGGGACTTTGAGTTGTGGAGCATAGTACTTGTAATTGTACTAGTAAATGCGGTTTTTGGTAAATATTTATATGTATTCCTTATTTCAATAACAATTATATTTGTATACGTGGCCTTACCCCAATAAGCCAACATTGTTACTGGCTTAAAACAAACCTTAAATAACCTCCATATAGCACTATAAATAATAAGCACTTACCCGTAAGTGTCATTCCTACGTTATATTGAAATCGTTGATTCCACTCTTGTGACGTTTGTTGCAGTACTACACGCCAGCCAATCAGATCGCGGACCGCGGCAGCGAGCAGGAACAACAGCACAGCAACACCCATACGCAAGTATAACCAGTCGTACTGCCTGACGGCATCCGAATAAGGGTGGGTTCGCACGACACGGCCGAGCGCGCCGCGGCGACGTAAGGCTCGTGCGGTGCGAACGCGCCCTAATGTCGTACATTCAAACCAACCTTAAATTTTTGCAGGTAAATGTTTAAGGGTGGTTTACAAACCACAATGTGAAATAAAAAATTGGTCCTGTCAAAAGAATGAATTGTGAGCAGTGTGTGTGTTCTAAAAATATATAATTATATATATACAGGGACTATTAATGAATAAGTCTTGTTTTTTATATAAATTAATAACCAACCAACTACTTATTATTAACATTGTAAATATAGGCTTAACTAGTTTAGTCTTAATAATACTTCTACACTATAATCAAACTAAAATCAAACAAGTTATAATTTAATCAAACTCTCACACAATAACACAAACAAAACAAAACGAACTGATGTAATTTAAATGTCGAAATTTTAGTTAAATTTTACATTGTTAAGTTAGGTCCCAATTAAATACTAACATATCTTAATGTTGTTACTTAAAAAACAAGGACTAAAATCTTTGACAGGACGATGCCTCCCACCTTTATATATATATATATCATACGTATAACTACGTGTCATATTTTTACTTGATGTAGACTAATTGTGAACGTTATATATACAGACTTTTGTCAATTTAGACTAAAAAAAATATATGGCTAATAATAAATTGTTTGTTGTAATAGAGTTTTTTATTTACTATCCACAAGAATAATTTTGGTAAATAGGTAGGTACCCTTAAAATATATAAATAAAACTTAAAACTTTACAAAGTTTAAATCCTTTGTTATTATACTTAAATCGGGACTTTAAAAATTTTAAAACTCTTTTTAAAACTTGTAAAAGTCTTAAGCTTCATAAAACCAATAAAAACTTTGCATGCAAAAATCATGAAGCCCTCAAAAGAGCCTTTTAGCACAAACGTCTCCCGATGATATTTAATAAAATTAAATGAGTCTACACTTTTATTGTGTTTTGATCTTTCATAATTAAGTAGATATTACAGCTCAGGTTCCAGATTTTTAACCGCAATTAAGTATTTTTTACAATGTTTTAAAAGTCTAAAACCTATCCTCCGTGACTGTTACTCTTTCTAGGTTAACCTATATGTTTTAAAATATCAGTTCACTAAGTAAATTAAACACATCCAAAGCAATCGAATCAAATATAAAATATTATTAAAAATTAAAAGAAATAATTTTTACAACCATTTATGAAGGTGTTACAAAAATTGATTCTATCCTCCGTGAAGCTGTTTTTGCTTTAAATTTTATGCAACGGATGGCGCTTTCATCATTTTAATTAAGCAAAAACCTCTGTTTTCGACATTATAGATGCATGTGATTCCTGAAGGTCAGTTAGAATTTATATGCAGATGAGAGTGTTGCTGTTTTATAATTCAAAAGTTTAAGTTCATTTAATTGCCATTTAAAAACCTATCCACCGTGAAGTGTAATATCTCAGTAAGTAATTTTTTTTATAAATATTTTATGTATGTACAATTGTATTTTTGAAAAATATTAAGGTGTCAAAAGATACAATAACTTATTTCAAATATACAAAGGGATGTTTAAAAAATCCTAACCTCCGTGAAGCTCTAATATTCAAAATGTATGATTTCTAAAAATTCTTGCATTAGTGCAGAACCACTTATGTTATGTTATTACTAGACCTGGTGGCTTCCCAAAAACCCCATTCTAGACTAACAGTGAAACAACCAAAAATAAAAAATAATCCATTTGTGATATCTCCATAAATTGGAATGTCTTGTTTTAAATTGAATTTATTGTTAACGATAAAATATCGATTCAAACGTCTTTTTAAGGTCGATGCAATCAAGAAAGCACTTTAAATTGGGACAAGGCCTATTGGTACGACCTCACATGCACATAAACTATACCGATTAGATAAGCAACAGGTGTATTTATTTACCCTTAACTTTATAAATAGAAAAGTTATTAAGACAATGCACACAAAATTATTTTAAGGTAAGGTAAGGTAAGGTAAGGTGTCGTAAGAGTGATGTATGCAGCTATGTTTCCACTACTTTTTAACTCATACTTCGTCCAAAACTCGAAAATTGAAGGTTTTTGGGGTCGCTGATTACGAACGATATTAAAATTGCTAAAATGCCTAAAAAGGTGTTATTGGTACCTGTAAAAGAATAGGTTAAAGAGCATTGCCTTTTAGAAACAGGTCTAGTATTCCTTTAACTATAATATAATTATTATAATTATAATGTAATTAATTATTCTTTTATACTAACAAAATTTCTTTGTTCTTTTCAGAGGCTTTAAGCCGTAATTTTTGTTTTTCATACCTTCTATAGCAAATTTACTTACCAGAACACATTGCAAACTGCGAACACATTGCAAACTGCGAACATAACCCAATTGTGTGTGTTTTATATTGCCGCAATCCTCTTCAAACCAAGTTTTTGTCAATAATAAGGTTTAGTCATTTATAAATTTATTTATGTGTATATTTAATAATACATACGAGGTGTGTTCAGAAAATATCGGGAATTTTCGTTTTTTGAAACAAATATTTATTTATTCGTCTACATTAACGTTGTCGCCTTCAAAATAGTCCCCATTGGATATTATGCACAATGTGCCAGCTCTTCTTCCAATACTCGAAACACTTCTAAAACTCGATCTTTGGGATAGCCTTTAGTTCTTTCAGCCATGCGCTTTTAATGTCGTCTATGCTTGCAAAACGACGGCCCTTTAAGGTTCTCTTTATTTTTGGGAATAGGAAAAAGTCAGACAGAGGCATGTCTGGCGAATATGGAGGCTGGGGCATCATTACAGTATTGTTTTTGGCCAAAAAATGTGTTCAAAATTTAACAATTTTAGAACAAACTTTGCTGCCACGCGTTTCATACCCAAAACATTCGAAAAAATTTCATGGGATGAGCCAATCGATATACCAACAACATCAGCGACTTCTCTGATGGTTTATAACCATTTCTTCCACTTTTCCCATGTTTTTATCGGTTGTTAATGTGCTTGTGCGTTCGGGGCGTTCGTCATCTTCAACGTCTTCACGGCCATCTTGGAAACTCGTATACCACTTGTAAACTCTTGTTTTACTTATAGCAGACTCACTATAGGCCTTTGTTAACATTTCACAGAATTTATTTAATTTTTTAAGCAAAATTGGATACAAATTATTTGATCCATTTCTTTTAACGAACGAAAAATCGCTCATAAAACACGTCTAACCTTAGCGGCTGCCACAGACAAAGTAAACAATGAAAACAGCTAAAGTTTTTATCATACTTCGGGGGCATGTATACCAACATAATAAAGAAAATTTTATGACAACTAGACCCTCCGAACCCGCGAAATTTAACAATTCCCGTTATTTTCTGAACACACCTCGTACATCCTTTAATCTACGGATTAACCGGTAGAAACGGCAACACTGCTAAATAGTTACATCTAACGCTCATACCTTATTTAAAATTCATATTGCTGACTTCATATCTATGATAAAAATAGTGTGGAATATACTCGGTCGTGCACAGACAAATAAAGATATATCTTGATAAATTTAATAAAAGTTTGAGATGTTTTATGCAACAGTTTATTGGATTTTTATATTTGCAAGTCAATAAAAGCATCTCGAGTCGACGGCGGTTGCGGTAAACAAGCGTCAGCCAGCGAATTTCGTCCGAAAAAAGAAAGAAGTCAAAAGAGACCGGCGTAAACAAATAAATGAAGAGATTGTCCCGATTCGATGCCAACTGCATTTTATTTTGGTGCGACGGATGAAAAACCGATTCGTCTTCTTTAGACTCTCGTCTCTCGTCCCGTCCTTTGACATGTTTTTGTTTATCGAGCGTTATATTATATGGAAAAGGCTGATTTACGTCAAAGGAAAATTTAACAAAGCATATCACCTTTAAAATAATATTTCTAAAAAGTGTGTGGTATAAATGTGTTCCTCATGGTTTAAACATTGTCACTTTAATGCGTTTTAATTTTAATTCTAAGAACAAACAGTAAAATTGCCAGTGTCCAATTACTGGTTGGTAAAAAAATTAAATTTCTATTATTGGACATATGTCCAAAAACATACTCTATTTGTATACCGGACATTTACCAGCCAATTCTTATCTTAAATTGTCCCCTGAATCCGAAAAGACCGTCAAAAACGAATAATATTTCATAGGAATTGACTGCTAAATGTCCCGAAAAAATATTAGATAAATATAAATCATCCTGTTCCGGCCTAAACATTATAAATGCTTCACAAACTAGAGATACCACACTTAATTATATTTGCAACAAACTATTTCAGAAGTCAGACCAAGGAATTAGTAGTTACCTATAGAATCCAGACAAGGGAAGAAGAATCCGAGAAAGAAATATATGAATTATATGATATTTACAAAAACGAAATAAAAAAAATTACCTAAAACAGCAATTTATCTTTAAAAAATATTTAACAATTTATGTTATTTGATGAAAAGTTGTTATGTTTATATAAAAATTGTATGTCCAATAACTATGGTCCATGTGTCCAATTACCATATAAAATGTCCAATTATTATACTTTTTTGCATGTTTTTATAAAACTAATATTAAAAATTCAAATATTCTTATTTTTAAGTAAACATAAATAAAGTTTAAACAAACAAACATTCTTTTTATATATTTATTACAAAAAAACTTAAATTTTTAATACGACGGCATATATAAATTTTTAAATAAATAATATTCCTTAAGTCCTATAAATTTATTAAAAATAAAAACTTGCAAAAATGGCGAATGCACTCGGTGTTAATAATAATAATAAAAACACATTAACGAAAAATCTTTACAACATCTCTTAAATACTGCCGATGAGGAATTGAAAAAAGTCAAATCAAACTTCTTTGCATTAGAACACATTCTGTATAATGGCATGAATTTAGGACCAAATTACAGAACAATACTCTAGTATACTACGTACAAAGGACAAATCATAACATTTTAAAAGCTTTATTTACAATAAAATCAATATGGTAGCCAAATGGCATATTACGGATATACGTACTTAATAACTTTTAGTTCTATAAAAACTGATATATTTACATTTATTAATATTTAATTCCATAGCGTTAGTATCACACCACAGATGAATCTCAGTTAAGTCTGATTGAATACGAATACGAATAATACAAAGTTTCGTAATAGTGGTGATTAGAATTACCTTTTAGCCTCAAGACATTAATAACTATTTTTATCTCCACGCGGTCTATAATTTAAACTTTATTGTTGTCAACATTCGATAAAGAAATACCTTGTTATGGCCTAGGCCGATAAAATTTTTTATGAGGCAAGTATTTTTTCTCGCTAGGGGTATTGTTTTGACAAATTAATCCTTTTCTAAGAAATTAACGTACTAAACTGGTTTAATTTATTTATAATAAGCACTAATTTGTTTGTTTTACTGTTAATGTTTAATATTTTTCATTAAATTATTGTAAAATTAAATATGAATAATAAAACAAAAAGTGAGGTTAGGCAACCAAGAAAACGCACGATTCTTTTTCTACGATTTAAATTATCTTTAAGTTTTAATTTGCTTTAAGTTTTCAGTGAAATTAAATGTAAAACACAGCTTAAACATTCCAAACTACCTATTTTTTAAATAAAAATCCAAACAAATTGAAATTAGATACCTACCTATT